AGTGAAACTTTTCAATTCTAAGAACTGGACTGAAATGGCTACTTTAAAAAACGGTCGTAGGTAAATACTTTAAAGCATAATAATAACATTCAAGCGCACAGCTGATTTCTAGCGTTGAACATCGTTGGCTCCATAGAGTTATATTTTTTAAGTTAAGCACTCAATGTTATTTAAATGGGTTTCTTTACATCACCGAGTGAGTTTTTGATACTTTACATCACTCGAGAAGTAAGGAAGTGGTATACATCACGCTTGGGATAGGGAAGTTTAACATGGCGGGTTATGTAAAATCAATTTAAATGATTATTTACTACACAAATTATTTGTAATGTAAAACATTGTTCACCACTCGGAGCAAAAGTATATTATTTATGGTACTTAAATTGTTTTATAGTACGTGGCAGTATAGTATTATTAGTTTATTAGTTGCTTGTTGCACTGTTCTACACACTGCTCAAGCTCTAAAACTCATTAAGTGGCATCCTGTCCACACACTGTAGATATATACTGAATTGTGGCATGGTGCCACTATTTCGAGTGTAGGCTTGCGCGAGAATTGGCAACGTAGCATTAGGAAAGTTATAGTTCCGGCGGACGGCACGAGGCGCGCTAGCTACCTGTATGGTTTCGTGTTCCACAATTCGGTGTGTACCTGCACTACTTAAACTCACATCAACGAGTTCAAAAATACTCAATTGTGGCATGTGATGTTTAAACGTCTTAATAATGCTGGAAACCCTAAAAAATGACCGAATTAGCTGTGGCACCCTGAAAAAGGTGCCACAATTTTTGAAGGTGCCACAGTACGGCCGTGTGCCTGTGAAGGATGCCACTATTCGGTGAATACAAACACACACACACACACACACACATGTATTAATATATATACAGGGTGTTTTTTTTAAACTTGCATCTTTATCTATGTAAAAACCGCAATAGCAATATGCAATATGCAGTTGGCGGGAATTATCTATTGACGTAGGGGGCGCAATTTTTTTAATTCAACGTTACATTCACATTCCCCCCTTTCCCCCCTGCCCCCAACTTAATTTTTTAAATAGCAAGGTACCCCTTGTGACATATCAAATGAAAGAGCATGAAAAAAGAAAATTTTTGGTGAAAAAAATTTAAAATCGGCTCATGAATTTGTGAGATAATCCCCCCTTTTCCCCTACCCATAACTTGTTTTTTAATAGCAAGGTACCCGCCCTTGTGACATATCAAATGAAAAGTACATTTCACCAAACATTTTCTTTTTTAAGTTATTATTATTTCTTGGTATGGTACAAATTAAGTCCAATCGGTCAAGTTGTTTTTAAGATATTGAGTAATTGAGTAACAAACAAACGGACAGACACTATTAGATTTGTAATAATTTGTCATAATTATTTGTAGATTTGTAGTACATATACAACTGTATAGAGAAATTTGAAAAAATGTGTTTCGGGCATCTGGGGACCTCAATACGACAAAGTAAATCGGTCCCGGGTATCACCATGAGACCTACGGCAATAGATTATTCTCTATACGGGATATTTGCTAAAATATGTATCGTAATACTTACAACGCCAGACGCTGCTGAGTAGTTGGTACGGTAGGACCGCTTGCACCACGCGCCGTCAGCCACCACGGTGATGAGCGGGGTCCCGTCCTTGTCCACCTCGCCGTGCTCCACCGCAAGACGCGCCTCTTCCGCCGCTGCTTGCTCCATCTCAGCCGCCGCCGTAGCTGCCCATCCCTTAGACACTTTTTCCTCGTACAGCTTGAAGGTTTTCTGGGACATTGGTGGAATGTCTAGCACGCCCAAGAACTCTTCTAATTGTGCATGACCCCCGCCTGTTGTTACAGTACCACACACTGCACCCGTATTTACGTCCATCCTATGGTCATTCTTTATTTCCGAGCACACTGTAGCTTTGTATTTGCACATATTACACTCAAAAACGAACACGCTTCTAAGACCTAGTCTTCGTTCGGATACTACCTGCAAATTATAAAACTTGCATCCAAATGCTGAACCGTGATTGTCTAAAAGTTTAAGTTGATCCAAGAAATCTGATATATTTATGATCCTCCGTCCACTCAAAGGCACAAAGTCTGTATTAGCGTCGTCTCGTTGAGGAGCGATCGTAGGGTTTTCTTCGGGCAATTCATTTCTACATATTTGTTCTTGTTCAGGTTGTCTTCTGAAATAAAAATAAAAGCGCTATCATTGGCATTAAAGTTAGGCGGCAGGATGGCCAACTAAAATTGTAGACTTGAGGTGACACTATTTTGCATCAATTAGTTGATTTGATTCGTTTGTTTCTCTAAACAATATTACTAAAGAAGTGTTACATGGTTATATCATGTTACTAAAAGGGAGACCATATTAAATGTGGAATTGACTCTAAAACTCATGAATATGAAATTAAATTGAAACAGAATAGAAAACTATGTTGAATCAAGGATAACCACAAAGGCTAAAGTCCAACAGTTAAAATATTAAAATTCGTTTTCATAGCCCAGGATTGCGTAATCTATATATAAAGCCAAAAGTACCCATGAACTTTTGAGAAAACTACAAAGTCACACCCCCATAAACCATATACTTAAAATGTTCGTCATGGCGAGAAACCTTGCGCAAAATTATCCATTTTTTCATAAATTGCCCTTTAAGGTCATAATTTTTCCAAAGGGAACTTTCCATATACTTAATGTTAAAAATACCTCAGCTGTTCTTATTTGTATGTTATTCTTTCAATTTATTACCTTATTAAAATCTATTGTGATTATTTGTTTGTAATGCTGTATTCTGTTATGTTTATTTCAGCTTAACTTAACCAATCAATAGTTTTTTTATAATACTTATGAAGTCAAACTGGTTGAAGCCCGTGGGTAACAGCTAGTATGACATAATGGTTAAAACATACCTCGACGACAATCCTTAACACGTAAATACATGTTACATGTTAAGGATTGTCTGACGAGGTATGTTTACATATCAAGTTAAAATATTGCAATTAATCATATAGGCCTACTAAATATTCAGCCTACTTACTTGATACGAGTTAAATTTCTACACTCTTGGAATTTCACCACACTACAATGTTTTTAGCCATTGGACTCTAAAGCTACGTATTGTTGTATAGGTCCGAAATGCCAACTGTCATCGCATTTAAAGCAAGAAAGGGGCAAAATGTGTGTAAATTGTTGGTAAAAATAGCCTACGTACCACGGGCTGAAAGGATTTTCAGCACTAGGTACAAAATATACTGTTGTAATAATATACAGATGTTATAATGAATTTTCAATAATTAATACACAGTATTAAAACATATACTATTTCATGTTTAAATTTTAAATTACACAGTGTAAGTCATGTCTGCAATCCAGCATTGTGTACATTTTCTACAAGAAACAACATAATTTAATGAGGTTTACCTTCTCTCTTCGAAAAACCGTTGTAATCCTGCTCCAAGTCTTCGCTTTTTCTTCTTTTTTGACAAAGGTGGTCGAGTTTTACCCATTGTGCAGATAACACTTAACGAGTAACAACGTTAACAACCGTAGTAAAAACGTATAGGCCTACGAATCAAATAAAACTTAAAAATAAACCTACCGAGCTAACTTAGTCTGTAAAATACGTAATTGTAACTGTACAAACTACTAGGTTATAGACTGCAAACACACGTCACACGGAAAGCCGAACAGAAAATAGCCGGTCCAATACTCAGTTGTCAGACGGAGGCAAACAGCACAATGCAACTGACTATTCGGGACTTGGTCCATGCAGATTACAAAAGAAGCTAACGGGACAACAAAGTTCCAGGATAATGCGTGAGTCACTAGCTTGCTCGGCAACATTGCAGCCCTGGTCGAGAGGGTCGACATGGTTCCAGGAAGGTTTAATCGCATTACACTGAGCTAGGTCTATTTATATGCAGACTCTAGTCGCACTGAACTTTGTTTTACTATGTAGTTTGATCCACATATCTAATTTATTCCAATATATCAATACATTTCTTTTTCTCAGGAACATTTTATTTCTAGATGCCCTATATAAATATTACAAACAAAATAATTCTTGCTAATCGTTTCAATAGTTCGGAGATACAGTATAACCATATATTGGAGAAACATGGCCTGTTTGAATTGAATCGTACTGGGCGGGCCTGCTAGAAAACGGAAAGGGATATATGAACGACGTTGCTGCCATCAGTCGGGACATCGTCGAACTAGAACTCGGTCGGCAATCAAGACTAATTTGCAAGCATTTAAAAACAAATATAAAATAAAATGTTGGAGATAGAAATACTGCTTTTTGTAAAAGTACAATCATTAAGGGAAAGATGATCTTTAATACGGCGTTTGATTCATATTTTTTTACCGAATCAGTGATTTTATAATCAAGAAGAAAATAATATCAAATCCTTATGGGAAATGAAGTAATTACTTTTTCTGATATTAAGGTTATGCAGCAGAATTGTAACTTTTATAGTTAATAGCTTGATTCCTATTTATATTTTCTATGCTTTGTGTTTCTTAAAAAAAATTTAGAAGCCCACATAGTCCTGAAAACCAGGAATTTTAAGTTGCGCTCCATGTTAAATTGACGCTCACGGCCGAGAGCCGCTGAGCTATGTCCGGCCCCCTCTTAATAGCCCATACAGCTAATGGAAACTAAGGAACATACGGTTTATAGTGAAATCAGAACCACATTTTTGTCTTGTAATTAACGAATTGATCTAATTATCAGGATAGTACTGCGGATGGTCGCTTGGACAAATTTGTTTCAGCAAAGGTCAATAACAGTAGTCTTTTAACTGACCCTGAATCAACCACTTCCGGTCATAATGTCTTGAGTGGATTTAATAACAAAACATTCTGACCCGATAATGTGATCAATTTTCTTCAGCCCGAGACAGCTGTAGTTGAATTATAGTATACTACAATAAATCGTTCTTACAACGACACACGTAACATAAACTTTCTTATAGTAACACAACTGTATAGAATACCTGGTTGCGTATGCTCATCTGTTCCACCAAGATGGGGTAGTGGTGGGTATCCACACCAGGCATCATGGGTAGTCCCGAGTTGTCTGAGGGGGACAGCTGTCGCCGCAGAGGATGCTGGGAGTCCCCGTCAGGTGAGGTGGGGATGGGAAATGTAGAGCGGAGTCTTACGGTGGGACTGCACAAAGCTGCCACCACGGCACTCACCAGCCGGTCTATGTCTGCATTCTGGCAATAGTAATAGGTAAATAATCAGTTGTTAACCCTTGGTAATTCTCTGATTAAATGTGGAGATTTTATTTGAACTTAGTACAGTAGAGTCCCTCAAACTCGGCGTAATGTGGACTAGAAGGGTGCCAAGTTTGTGAAATGCCGGGTTATCGGGAACTAGGGTTGAAAATAAGAACAATACAGTTTTTAAGCATTTTAACCGCCTTTTTTATTTATATTTATATTACAAGTCAGTATTAAGTCATCAGATATAGTACAACAAATCCTTAGTACTAGTTGTGAATAATTTGACTTAAGCTGGCTTGAGTCCATGATTAACTCGGACTCAAAAAATCACTAATTTTCTGAGCCAGGTGATGGCCGAGTTATCAAACTGCCGGGTTATTAAGAGCCGAGTTTGCGGGAATCTACTGTATTATAAAGAGTTCTATCAACGACACACAAGTTCTACATGAAAAGAAAACTAACCTAAGAGCAGGAAAATTGAAACATCTATCAATGACTTACCATTTCCATAGAAGCTAGGAGATCACATAGTGCCGTCCACTTGAGAAAAGCCGTGGGATAGAAAGCATGAAAACAGGCCACAAACGTCTGGTGACACTCTTCTAAGATCTCCAAGCACATCTTGCTGTACTGACTCCCTGTCAACAGAACAATCCGTCAGTGAGTCTGACGTTACAAAGTCTGACAAAGAAACTTGTAAGTATGTATATATTTAATAATGTTAAGAATGTCTACTCAATGTAAGAGCAATATAAGTGCAAAAAACTCACCGCTACATAACACATATTTACATTAACATATTTATTTAAATAAAGTTGCATTGACACCTAGAAGCATAAGTCAACCCAAATAAAATAAAGTTAAAGGTGATCTGAAAGACTAAAAGAGCATATGGTATGAAGCTCTGGTCAAAAAGTAGAAAACCAGGAGAGAAAAGTAACTATGAACGAGGCTGTACTTAAATATTGTTCACTCTTCAGGATTAACACACCAGGTTAATATTTTGGTCAAATTTGTTTATTTCATACTATACTATTAACATTTTACAAAAAATAACACATTTTATTACCATTTCTGTAGCAGCTAATAATCTAAGTAGGCCTACTTGTTGAACTTAATGTTGTTTAGTTAGGGAATGGATCTGACATGCTTAAGGTAATATTTAAGTGAACTTCCAATCAGGCAAATGGAAATTCACTTAGTCTTCTGGTTTGCTGCGACGGGGGTATTTATAAGTATATTTCTCTCCTGTTTATCTCTCTGTTTGACAATATAGTAATTTTATGTTATTTTTAGCTTAAATTAAATACATATCTATATAATTGAGTATTTCTCATATCAAATAACGTCATATCAAATTTGATTTATGTAGAACATTACAAAATAATCAACTAGTGTCAATACCAACAGAAAAGTATAACAAACTAAACTAGCATTTACACAGCTTGTAAAGAATTCCTAAATACTTCTGTAATGTTCTCACCCTGAGTCTTCTTGCGTAGGGAGGGCAGAGAGTCTGACAGGATGGTACGTAGCAGCGCTCTAACATCACCAACACACTCGGCCAGCCTTACTGACTCCTGGGCGACCTTCTTGTGTGACACTGCCAACACAATAAGGGATGTGTCAATAAGTTGGTGTATCTGATAACAAACTGTAATTTACATCAGCCTGCTCTGCCAAATCAAGTAGGCCTAGGTTCATTTAAAATCTAAAACTTTAACTTGGGAAATCCTTAGTCAATGCCTAGAGTTTACAAATGAACATCATAAAAAACAAAATCCAGTTTTTTCCTATGAAATTTAGAATTCATACACCAATACAAAAGAACCAGTTTCATAAAATAACACTGATATTTTGTTCCCAGCCGGAATTTGTAAGAGTATTTTTTTAGTAAATGACCTTGTGTGATGATGGCCTGTTGTTAAGTAAATGTAAGCTCTTCGTGATGTTTTCAGATATGTTTAAAAAGAAAAATTCTCTATCAATCACCTGGTGTTATTAAACATGACCCAAATATGTATGAAAAATAAGAAATTGATTTAAGCAAAAATAGTTTAATTTGTATTTTTGACTATTGATAGAACCTTAATCATCCAAAATTCAATACTTGTGCCTTTAAGCGCATAGACTTTTATTTTCACAGATAGCCTTGCTAAACTTCTATTTCTTTCCAACAAAACCCCTATATCAGCCACATTGCAACAAGCGGCAAGCCCCTAAATACACTCTAAATAATCCGTTAATGATATCGCATGCTAAAATATCAACTCAAAACTCATTTCATCCAAATATTTTTTTTAGAATTGAAGTCGAGGTATTTTTTTTTACCTATCAATAAAGACTATTATCCTACTAGCAAGCTCAACCAACCTCTATTGGGGTAGATCTCATTGATGTAAGTCTTGATCAGCCGCAGACTGGCTCTGCAGATATAGACCAGTCTCTCCAGGTCCAGCAGAGCAACCAGGTGACTAGTGGTGGAACTGCCAGTGCCAGGGACTACAGTAACTGTCGTCTGCACCAGGGCGGACTTGAATGTTGCCCAGGACCACTGCAGCAGACTCAGCAGCGAGCGGAAACAATCCTGACACAAAGGAGGGTTAAATATTGCACTACCATTGATTTATACTAACCTACACCTTAAGCATTAGTTATAGCACAGAAAACATACTATTATAACCCAGAATGCCAACCGCATGGTAAAAACCATTTAGTGTTTTGAGAGAGCTTTGCCTGTCAATCCGTAGGCAGCGCCACCAGCGTTGCTATGCTGCATTGGCATTCTGGGTTATAGTAGTATGTTTTCTGTGGTTATAGTCTGTTCAAAAAATGTTGGAGGTTTGAGGGGAAGTTCCGCCACTACTTTTTGCTGTTGATTTATTGTTTTAAAGGTAGGATTAAGTGGAGGGGATCAATTTCTTCCTCTAAAACAGCCTAATTTTGTGAACGGAGTATAATAAACAAGGCAAGCAGAAATTTGAGTGACAAAAGATAAATATTATCCAATACGTACCAGCCAAGGTGTCCCCTGTTTTTATAGCAAAAACTTCCTTTTGTTGACCATTGTAACCATAAGGCCAATTGCAACATTCACTGAAACCCCGTTCCCACGGTCTGATCTTGCTGGTTTCCCAACTTGGTCGAATAAACATAGGTTTATGTTTACACGTTTATACCAAATTGAATCATAGTCGGATGGTTTTCACTCAAGTTATCATGATAGCGGACACACACACTGGCCTCTTGGGACATAAAAACAAAAAAGTAAATTCATACAGTATCTAGGACTTACCATAAGACCTGCCGTAGTAAATTATTCCCTTTAAGGGAAAACTGCCATTAATGGTATTGGTATTGATATTGAGAATTGAGAATCGAGAAATTTTTGTATCGACACATCTCTTTTAGATGCAATAATTTCTCCTTTTACTTTTCTATACATGTCTCATACATCGATAAATGTCTTGATCACTTGTGATCTGTGTGTTTTCTCATGATAAAAACATTATCTGTCCCAAAAGTTATGAGTGAACTAAAAATGCTCAACCCTAATTACAATTTTTGTCACACACCACTATGACACTCACAGTAGACACAGCTCTGGAGAACTCCTTGCTGAGTATGTACACAGGCTCAGCACAGTCCGTCTGTCTTGCGGCAGTTTGATTCTCAGGAGTGACCACACGGTACAACAGCTGGGGGATCTGACCTGCGTTGACATCTGTACCGTTGTTGGACTTCTTGGACGACTTGAAGTAGAACACCACCCTGAATTGTGAGGTTTATTATCACCAATTGAAAAGGGAAGGAAAATGGGAGTATTTTAACACAAATATGAGTGAAGGTTGTGAAAGGAGTCAGACTCCTTGTGTAGCTTTGTTACTAAGACCAGATGTTTCTTCAACTTTAACCATACCAAAGTCCAATCAAGGACAGCTGGTTCCAGTTTCAAACCATCAAAAGTTTCTGATTTTTTTCTCAGAAACAAACTGGCAACCTTATCATTGTAAGGGGAGCAACTATCATTCAGTTATATATGGTGTTGGTGCATGTCACATTGGAGACATTTGTATAGTAATGACTTCCTTAAAGGAAGGTGTCTAAAATTCAAATCCAAGTCAAACTTACTTATCTAAAAGCTTGAGTGATCATGCATCAAGCAAAAGAATTTAAACCAGTCAAGAAGGGTGAGAATCTTAGGTATCACTGTGATCGCAAGCAATGTCTGCCAAGTTTGTGCGATCTTGGAAGTAGATCATCTTGAATATTGAAATAAAACTATAGCCTGATGTGAACCAATAAATTATTCAACTACTTACTGGTCTTCAGTGCAGACCATCCCTTGGCCACTAGAACCACAATCACTGGAAGGTCCACTGACACGAGCCCACGCTACGTACCAACGGTTGGCCTACAACACATCCAACACATTACTCTTCAACATTGGAAAACAAACAACAATATTATAACTCTACATTGATAAGTAGTCAAATAGTATAGTGATGTATTAGAATTAGTTATTTTAGGACATAGTTCCACTAAAAAAGTGATGCTCTATAGAACAAAAAATATTGGAAATTTGAAATTTTCAGGATAAATAGATTACAATAAAAATTCAGGTCAATGAACAGAGCACAGGAAAGATTTAGATTTCATAGTTCTTTCAGATATTACAATATCAGGCTGGATAATATTCTCCATTAAATTCAATTTAACGATTACATAAATCTCTCACAGACTGCATCTAGTAGCTGTCAATGCTGTCAACGATTATAATGACATTCACCTGTAGGGGGATAGGATCGTCAAAGAGCATCGGGTACTTCATCCTGGGACCACACTCGTAAGGCACCTCTTCTGTCTCGGCCACCATGTCTCCGTCATTCTCTTGCTCGCCTCCCTCCATGCCGATGTCGTAGAGCTACCAACATACAACACATGTCATTCTCATGTTGTGCGACTACAAACTAGGTGTTAATCAAGTACCAATATTGACACAATTATCCAAAAACTGGTGGTTTGTCAAAATTTGTTATTGATGTCAAACAAAATACTTTAAATCTATCTGGTCCCACCTTGATTTTTCCTGTGTATTCACCACGGCCTCCAAACAGGCCAAAGCCAGCCAGCAGGATGTCTGTGTCCGCCATGAAGCGGATGGCTTCTATTGAGTGTCCTGAGTAGCCCCAGCCTCCACCATGGCCTGAAGAAAACAGGACAAACGATTAACAATGAATATAAGATATATAAGATAGCTATATAAGATTTTATAGTTAAACTTTCATACTTATTTACAGAATGTATACTTATTTTTCACTTAAAATATTTAAAAACTTACACTTTTGAACCTAAATTATCATCCAACTGAAGAAAACCAAAAACTAACTAAAGTACTAACAAAAAGATGCCATAAAATATAGATTAATAGTATTCCTTTGCTCAAGACCTGATCTGAAATTACACTAAAACCTTTACTGTGTCCTCTACAAAGCTTACAACGATGAACGTCTGTATAATAAGTTTTAAAGCAAAGTGATCCAAACCCTCAGTTTTGGTGAAAATGCAAAGGATTTACATATAACCTTTACTAATACAAGGCTGCGGCGAGACAAAAATGGCAACACCGCTGTTCCGTAAAAATGAAACAGCTGTTGCACTAATTTATAACGTACAGAAAAGGAAATGTTTATGTTTACACTTTTGTTATTTCTGTTGTTACCATGGCAATAGGCATGACATTGCGACATTACCACACATCAACGCCACAGCCATGTGTTAGAGGAGGCTATGATTTAACCCATCTCTCACATCAAGGTCCAAGATGCTAGTATTTAGGCTACCAACCCATAATATAACCATTAATTACTATGGCACTCACTTTCAAACCGGTTGACCGTAGAGAAGTCGTCCCAAATGAACACCTTGTCCTGCGGGTCTGCAGTGTCGCCCTGTGGACACAGAGTGAGTCTGCGTTCCTGCGCGGCTGTCAGTGTGTCCAGCACTCCCAGCAGATGAAGCGCAGCCTGTGTCCTAGTCACCAGACACCCCGGTGTCCATGGCAGTGACAGTTGAGGAGACAGTATACATGCTGCCACCTCCAACCGAGTCTCACAGCACACTACGTGGTGACACACTACTTCAGGCGAGTCCCCCGTTTCACTGTAGCTGCAAGATCAGTTAGCGGTTAGTTCCACTATTAACTTTATGTTTGAAGTTAATTAGATAGGAAACAGTGGTGGGAGACGATACAGTATAAGATTTAACTGTACTAATAAATATTAGTGTTAACAACAAACATTGCAATGGATTCATAATCCAGTAGCCCTACTTAGTACTTACTGAGTTACTGACTCACCAGTTATGATAAGTGAAAAACACATCAGGTCTACACCTTTGTACACCTTTGTCTACACCACGGCCTAGGAATGCAAATCAACTTACAGGAAATAAGTTGATGCTTCAAATTTCAGCTTCATTTTTGCAAACTCAAGTTTCTTGATCATGATGATAAATTGTAAATTAATTTAAGTGTCCAATCATCCAGATTGAGATTATTCATCATTAATAGTATGGTATTAGCACAAAGCAAGATAATAAAAATTCTTCTGACAGGCACATTCAATAATATGGCCTAAAGGTGTTATTTTGATCTGGATAAATCATCTGGGTTCGTTCAGCAGAGTTTTTGACAATAATTGGTTAAAGTTGAGCTGAAAAATCACAAGAAAACACTGTAAAACAACTTGAAACCAAGTAATAGCCATCTAGGTTCTCTATTCTCACAAAAACAGTTAATTAAAGGTTCTCGGTAATCCCGCATTTTTTATCATGGCACTACTGAAGTCCAGAACAATGTTGACTAATAAATATCTATGGTTCACTCTCACTGTATGCTATGGGGAAGAACATGGAATAGTACAGAGCCTTAACACTTCTAGATATGTTGATATTGATACAAAATGACCAACATACCTCCAAAGTATGTTGTAGAGAGGGTCGAGACAAGCAGCTGTGCTGGTAAAGTCCACCTGGTCGGCCCCTTGGAAGCTGGCGCAGTTACCATCCCTCTTGTTGATCACCAGACACTTGAATGACTTGGACAACTCACAGTGGGTGGGCAGCAGCACTAAACAAGAGTAGATTGTGGTAAGAGCACAAGAGCAGAGGATTGTACTGTTTGATGTTGGTTGGTAGGCTTACCTGAATGGAGTGAAGTCTATTCTGGCACAAGAAACACAAAATCTTAGACTAAACAAAAAATTAAAATACTATACTGTCACTGATAGTAAATTCAACTGCAGAATATAGTATCATTCCATTTACTTAAACTTTGCTAGGTTATAAATAATTTCTGTGACAGCGTAGTACTTTGATTATTGTTTATTGTGTAACTTTTTGCTGAGCCACAATAGATTCTTTCTCTACTTTGGTTAACCTGCTAACCCAACAATAATCCTTAAACACATTAGCCTAAGGCTGCTTAAACATTGCAATTAAAATGTCGACACTATATTTTTGTAAGATAACATATCTGTCCGATTTGTATGGGGTATAGGGCAATCAATTAAATTGCTACCTACACTAGACATTAGACAGTAAATTAATAGTTTGAAGGTGAATTTTAAATTTTAATCCATTTGTATAGTTATTGATTCTGAAGACTCGAACTATCAACTATGTCATAAATTCTCTCCGCCTTGAGAACTTTGCTAGAGAACAATATATATTTTGATTGGGACAAGAAAAAAGTGAATATTATTTTTACATTTGTAAAACAAAAATTATGAATAATTATTTACTCAATGAGATGAAAGCTTTTATCCAAATGAGTTTGATTTCATCCTTTTCCAAAACCTTAGAAATCTCACTAACTCCAGCTAAAGTAAAATTCCACAACATTACAGGCATGGACCATGTTTGTTGCACCAACAACTTAACCACCAACTTAGCAAATCTTTCTGACAATCACTTAGCCTAAACTCTGATTAATCAATCACAATACCTGAAAAAAATTTACCCTTGAATCATATACCCTTATGACCACATTTGACAATTCTTATATCCTTACAATCTCACACATTCTCGATCTACAACGCTTGTTCAAGACATTGAGGACACAAAACCATTTATTATTCCACATCATACTCACAAAGGCAAGCCTTGTTAGCCATGACGGTGCTCTGTTTGAGTGTGAATGGGTTGATCAGACTCTCGTCTATCCGCAGGAACGTCTGATCAGCCGAGGCCCCGACCCAGGTGGCTCTACGACCGTGACGGGGGCCTACCCCGGGCACACTAGTGGGGGTACAGTGCCACCCTGCACCCTTCCTACCCCCACCAGACCCACTTAGTGCTGACACTCCTTCAGGCGGGGCTCGACCCAGCTGGCCCTTCTACAAAGAAAATTCATATTATTTTAAACAATTTCAGAAGAAAATACAAATAAAAAAAAATTGTGGAGAAAGACTGAAGTTTTAAATTTTTTTATAAAAAAAAATCTAAATGATGAAATTTTTTTATTAGATCTTGTCACTTTGAAACTAAATCTCAAAAAAATAATTTAACTTAAAAAAATTTTAAGCTGAAATTTCACCGATGAATATGTTGATATTTTGGGATGTTCCAAATTGGCAAATTGTGATACAAGATTAAAAGGATAGCAGCTAGCTTACCTTATAAATGCCCTGGTAAGCAAATAGTACAGACAGAATATACAGGAAATAAACAATATTATTTCATCTAGTGAGGACTCCGTCAAGTTCAGATAAAGAATATGACCTAACAGGGCTTTTCTAAGGTAAGCTAGTTAGTTGATAAGCCTGTATTCTAAGAATCACAATTCCTGACCAAAAACGAGTCTTCCTTAGATGAAACTATTGAACTTATAAATCAGAGATGCCATTCATGAATGTTTAAATTTTGTTGACTCTTCATAATAAAACTATAAGCTTGTAAGTTACAATAAGTATGTAATATAGTTTTTGCCATCAATACTACACATAGACCTACCTGATAGCTGTCAAACGTGTAGACTTGTCCGTTGGCCAGCAGTACAGCAGTATGGTTGCTGCCAGCTGCTATACCTGTAGCTACAACAGGCAGTTTGACTACCACAGGTCCTCCTCTAGTCAACATGTCACCTACTCCTAGCTGTACATACCTGGTAGCTGCCGAAGGTGTAGACTTGTCCGTTGGCCAGCAGTACAGCAGTATGGTTGCTGCCAGCTGCTATACCTGTAGCTACACCAGGCAGTTTGACTACCACAGGTCCTCCTCTAGTCAACATGTCACCTACTCCTAGCTGTACATACCTGATAGCTGCCGAAGGTGTAGACTTGTCCGTTGGCCAGCAGTACAGCAGTATGGTTGCTGCCAGCTGCTATACCTGTAGCTACACCAGGCAGTTTGACTACCACAGGTCCTCCTCTAGTCAACATGTCACCTACTCCTAGCTGTACATACCTGATAGCTGCCGAAGGTGTAGACTTGTCCGTTGGCTAGCAGTACAGCAGTATGGTTGCTGCCAGCTGCTATACCTGTAGCTACACCAGGCAGTTTCACTACCACAGGTCCTCCTCTAGTCAACATGTCACCTACTCCTAGTTGGCCATAGCTGTTGCTACCGAAAGTTAACACTTCTCCATTCTGTGTAAGCAGCACTGAAACACACAAATCTTATTTCAATCTAGGTTTTAGAGGTTGCATAAAAGCTAGTAGCTGGAACACAACTCAGCTTGAAATATTTTTTCCAATGTTATATTCTACACACTTTTTTGTGCAGGGTTAATGAACTTGTTATAGATTTTATCTTTGTGTAAAAAGGCACAAATATGTTTACCATTTTGTTTGAGTTAAGCCTACGAATCACTGATCAATACGTGTACTGGTGAAATTACCTGCTGTCAAATTAATCGCAAGAACGAAACGACAATGACGACATCCGCCAGAAGATGATCCTGTGAGGATCAAAACCGGCCGCCTTTCAAGGTCACAAGGACCACTTGACAGCAGGTAATTTCACCAGTACAAATACCAGGTTAAACACTCCTGACACACCTTGATGACCAGTGGTGACAGATTTAATTTGAAATTTCTTCTTCAAATTCAATGCTTACCAGTATGATGGAGTCCACATGCTATCTGTACCACAGGGGAATCACTAGGTAGATGAACTTTCCCAGGAGGAAGAGAGGAAACTCTACTCGCCTCCCGTTCTACATCACTCCCTCCAGCAACCTCTTCTACTGCAAAACACAATATTAGTTTGCTGTGCTGAGGTTTAGATACAAAGTAAGTTCGTACATTTCACACTGAGGGCAAAAAGTAAGATTAAGCCTAATGAATAAAGTTGGAGACATAGTCAAGATCTTGCAAAGATCAAAAGCTTGATAAATAATTTTACCTAAAATAAATTTTACCACCATATAAAATAAATACAAAGTTAAAGAATTTGAAAGTGAACAAAAATCTTTCAAAGTTAAAAATGCTTGGCCCTTCTAGAATATATGACCAATACACCAAATATCAATCATTCAAGTTTCCAATGTCCATATACCTGTTACTCGTTGAAATTTCTTGGATACTAAATATTTTTAGTTAACAGGGAATTCATCAACTAAATAAACGAATTGTTAACCCTAAGGAAGTAGTAATATTTAGCCCTTACTTGCCTAACCCTACTTTACTACAATCAATTAACATGATTAAAAATTAAAAACATCCTTGTGTGGTGAAACAATTAACTTGCTAACTCAAACTCAAAAAACTCAACATACCAACAAGAGCAGGAGGTGCAGTGCTCCTGAATGGTATGGGCGGCTTGGCAGGAGCAGGCATGATCGGAGCGCTCGGCCCCGCTCGGTTGTTAGCTCCTTTCAGCTTCAGTCCGTTATGTTTTGAGCCCAACTTTCCTCTTTGTCTCTGTTTACGCTCCTCTAGTCTCCGTTGAAGATGATCTTGTAGTCTTGCTCCATGTCGTCCTAAGAAAACTCACTCTTTAGTACATGTAAAAAATTAAACTTAATTTTATTTTTATTACTTTTCCTTTTTTTACATTAAACAATTTGAACACAACAACTTTTTTATTCAAGGTTTCAAAAGCCAGAAAAAATAGGCCATTAACTAATGTAAATCGTTAATCAGAACCTTCAAAAAATTCAACTGCAAAGCTTGAATAGGTAGTTCGTAAAGTTTTAGTTTAGCTGTCTAACATCAGTTTTATTCATGCTCTTAGAACAACCTGTATAAATGCTACTTTCTAAAAGAAAAACATACACAAGGAATGCCAATCCTTTTGTCTTTTATATTTTTTTAAGGGAATGATCCAGATTCTGATCTTGTTACTATCTAAAGTTCACCTTTGGTAAGATAGCATTATTGATTGATATCTAGATGACAAATAGCATTTGGGTCTAGAATCAACTGGATTGGAATATCTAGGAACGGGTGTGAAGGTGAGCACTATAACAATGCTTGAGGAATTGTCGAACACAACATGAAACTAAAGACATAATGTTGAATGAGTTTATAATTATTTGAAAGACATAAGTTCATGTTTAAAGGGTTTTACAGTCTTGTTTAATCATTACCATCATGTACAATCTTCATTTTTAATTTCAGATTGGTAGATGAGAGTTTTTAAGGTTTTGGGATCTGAAATGTGAAGATGAGGTTACATTATGGATACAAAAAAATTTTTGAAACACTTCTTTTACTACAGTAGAGCGTCACAAACCCAAACCTCAAAAATCTGAAACGTCAAAAATCCAAACCGCTCCTGAACAACGCGAAACAATTAACTTGCCAGTAGATGGATTTGTTCAAATTACCACCTCCAAAGATGAGATCGAGCCGCATCATGCCCGCTATGTCTCCTGCGCCGCTCGGCCCCAGGATGGCCAACTCCGAGTTGTCGACATTCTCCTTGGCGCAGATCCTACAACATCCACACTCTGCGCAGCCTGAGTCACCCTCCCCACAACCACACTCCCTGCGACATAGCAATTAAACATATACAGGGATTGTAGCTACAGAAATCACTAAAAACTACTGGTTAACATGCCAAGTACAAAATAAGCAAAATACATAAAAAAGGTATGATATAAAAAAGTAGTCTGCATTAAGTAATGTGTGATATATCATTGACTTTAAAAAGGTAATTTTGCTGGTTCAAGCTTTGTTACTGTTCTGGAAAAACTAATAGGGTAAACTAGGGGAAAACTAATAAATTACTGACTCAACAGGATGCATTAAAAATACACTTACGTTGAATCAAGAAATTCTACAGACAAACCTTTTATAAGGCTTATGTAGCTTTGTGTTAAAATGCCCTTTGTCATTGTGTTTGTATTGAATAAATAAATTGAAAATTGAACAAAGCTCAAAATATGTTCCTCAGCGGGAAAAAATTGTGTAGAAATGTTTAGTTAAATCCATATTCAAAGCCCATGTCCATCAGATGGAACTAGAAGAGTTAGGTAGTGGAGCGCATAAAGACGAGAAAATAAACTAACAATACTGATGTATAGTTCTAGCCATAGACAAAGATATTATTCTTCTGACACCATTGTGCATTCATAAATAAATATTCAAGTTTACTATGGTCCACTCACTGTCCAGGGTTGCGGTCGGGTCGCATGGAGCTGAGGCAGCTAATGCTATAGCCTGTGCACTCCCGACAAACAGTGCACACCATGCACAAGTCATGCTTCCACTTGTGTTGTCCAGGCGCACACATTGCGTCCTGTGCATCCTCCCACTCGCCTTCCTCCTCCTCTCCCCCCTCCTCCTCTACAGCCATCTCCATGGCGACCACCGTTTGAGCTGTGGACAGACATGTAGGTGATAATATGAAACAAGCTCTATGTGAATAAGCTAATCTGAACGATCTGTCAGTGAAAAAGGATAGTACCAGGTTAGCTGGATTGTTAGATTGACAGACATAAAGAAATCAAAGTCTATGATATTCATAAGTGTAATGGGAATAAGCATAATAACAAATCTTCAAATAGTAATTTAGAAAAAATGTTAAAGCTATATCAACTTGTTCAATTGACACTAATTCAGATAAGTATTTCTGTCTTTTAAACAAATGTTTTTTCTCCTCATCAGTTTTAAAAGTTCAAATTCTAACCAGGCATAGTAATAAAGGAATTAAAAAAATGGAAATATTTCATTACCTCAATGTTTGATCTGCAAGGTTTAATTTGATTTCTGCAACATATAAACTGACATAATCTCCTTTTGACAGAATATTAAATCTTTCATAGTTCTAGTTTCTAGTGGAATCTTGTAGTTTAAAACATGGAGATCATTTCAAATGCAAAACCAATAGTAAGGAATAACTTCTCTTTTAAAATCTTGGAAATAATTTATGATAACTCAGTACATAAAACATATGTTGATAGAAGTTCTTGCGGGTGGTTAATTACCTTCTTTGACCTGCAGGGCAAACTCTCGGCCACACTGGCCCTTGTTGTTAATCCCGAATGTGAAGACTTGTCCTTTGTTGGTAAGCACGACTGCATGAGCCTTGCCCAAAGCTACTTGGGTGACATGTACGTCCTTCAAATCAGTAACTAGACCTGTAAAATAAACCATTAAAATAAGTCAACAAAATTGGACAACTCTCTTTTAATTGAAAACTCTCTCTCTTCGTTTATTGGAAATGCAGTCAGCGACAGTGAAATGTTCTAATGTTGTGTATTCAGTGTAAAGTTTAGTCTCTTGTACCAGTTTGGACTCTCTCCAATCAGTTAAGGTCGCTACCCTCACAAAATCCTAAAAACCTAGGCATTGTGTTTATGTTACATCCTTAAATGAGACATAGTTAGCAAAATTCATGAAAAGATATCAACTGCTAAGTAAAACAGAGTAACTACGTATAATTTTAAAACTCAACACTATTTAAATATCTATACTTATTTACCTACTGTTGGTCATTTCTTTTAAAAATATTTTTTCAAGTTTTTACCACAAGCTAACCCAAGCTCCCAGATAGATATTGCTGCAGAGGATTTGTCGGGTCATACGAGTTAGATTAACCTACATTAGTTGATTGAATTTTAAAAACAACTACTTCAAGAAACTGTAACTACAAATTAATTAAAACAATCACCCGAAGCTGGATCACAGTGAGTGGTGTCTTTGCCGAACATGTGAACTTCCCCATCTTTGGTGACCAACGCTGTTGTCCCGTTGTTACAAGCTGCCGTCACAACAAACGATGACTCCATCTTGGTGAGTTTCTTGGGCTTAACTGCCTTCAGTTGTCGTCTTCCTTTGTCTGTTGGGATACAAATTTAACAATCAAAATACGGATAAAACATATAATGTAAATTTCACTGCTGGTCTCAATGTACACTAAGGAGGTAAGAAATACTTCCCATTTCCTTACACATAGTATAGTTAACACACGATAGGAAATGTCCATTCATTTAACCTTAAAGCTAAAATTAATTATTATTTGCAATTGTGAACTTTAAAAGACTGTTCCTTTCTGACTTTGTCTGCATTGACCTGCTGTGATTACTTTACTAAACGCATACTTTTCTCACATTTTCCCTTTTACGAGTTTTCACACCAACAAACTCGAAACTGTTTTTAGGTTTAAATGTTATTATTATCTACAAATTGTATTTAGATTTAGGATACGTTAGAACCGAGGCATAACCTAAAACATCAAAGTTGAAAGGTCATTGAAATGATTAGAGAGGATCGCCTCAAGAGTAGTTAGAATAAAGTTTTTAGCATCAGGCTTGAGTAGTACCAAATAAGAAGAGATTTTACCTAGAACTATTTTTTTTTCTCATTGTAAACCTTGATGTGTCTTGAGGTTAGATATTTAGATTTATAGTGGCTTTGTTAAATATGGATGGAGAGAAAAATCACAAAAAATTATTAACCCTCCTGGTGTCTGTCATTTTTTCTGTAGTGTCAGGCGATTTTTGGGCGTTACGCAGCATTATGTTTAAAAAATTATATAAAATTTATTTTTCAGATGAACTATACCATGTTATATATTTTTGTGAAGCTAAATACACTGAGATCATAATGCAGCATAGATGTTTGGGTTTCATGCATATTTGATGAGTAAAAAATGCTTTGAGAAAAAAAAAATAAAAATATAAAAACAAATTCAAATGTTCGTGCCCCTTGTTTTAGAAATAAATTCAACCATATGAAAAATCTGAGACAGCCATTTATTTCTAAATATTATAACAAAAAAGATAACATGCATTTTAGTAGGCTTAGCTTAATTTTTAGGTTAGTTATATGATAAAATATAATACAAGAACAGTTGCGAAATCACTCAATATTACAAGATTCTATGAATTTGCACACATGCTTCAAAACACACATGCAAAACACATGCATACCACAAAATACTCATTATTTATTGTTTTACATCAATGCATGCATAAAAATAAAATATACTTATCTGAAAAATATTTCTATTACTATCGACCATGAAACTGAAGGGGAGGCGGAAATGTTTTTACTTCAAGTGTTCACTCAACCAAAACAATGAAACAAAGTTATAAAAAAACACTCACTTTTTGTAAAACAAAAATTAACTACCTAAATAATCTTTGGAACAATGTAGGCTAACAAAGAAAACAATTTTTAGGCACAGTAAAAACATTAGTCCCCTAGAAGACAGAAAGAAATTATGATCACAAATGTTATTCGGAGTCGGAACTTTCTCTATGCAGTCTACGCTTAGCACCACGAGTTGGCCTCCAGAAGTGCTGTAGGTTATGGTAGCATTCACGGTGCACTCCTATGTTGCATCCAGGGCACCAGAATCTTGTTCTTCCATTGCTGCATACCATACACTTCCTTTCACATTTCCTCGGCAGCTTGTCAAGGCGGTGTCGATCTCCAACATCTCCGGCAGGTCCAGGGACAAGTAGTGGTTCCTGAGGGACGCCTGCTGCTACAAGAGCTTCAATGATTTCTATGTGGAAATCTCTTCTCTCCAGTGGATTGTCCGTGTTTGATTTGTAGAGAGTATATGCATTTACCATACAAATGTCTATAAAGTTGAAAAAAATCTTCTTCCAATACTTTGTGGTAGAACGGTTACACGTCATATGGTAGACCGACTTGTCGTTGACGTCGATTCCACCCATTGATTGATTGTAATCGTGTATCAAAAGAGGCTTTTGGCCAACAAGTCCCTTTTTGCTTCGAACAATTCCATCCTCAGCATTGTGGGCAGTTGTGATTACAAAAACGGGCTTCCGGTTTGCTTTTTGTCTGTACTGTACAAGTAACAGATCACCTTGTCTGAAATAAATACTTTCCCGGGCACCTAGTACTGTATTTTTGGCGGTTGTAGACAGGTGTTTGGACCTTTTATTAATTGTTCCAGTTAAATATGTTTGACGTTCTAAGAGTCGCTCAGCTAAGGGGATTTTTGTATAAAAATTGTCCGTGTACAAGTGGTACCCTTTATCTAACAATCTACTTTTCGACATCAAATTCATTACAACTCTCTCAGTGAACAACTCTTCAGGATCATTGGCTGGTAAATAATCAGTCCCGCTGTACAATTCAACATGCAAAACATAATTTGTATTGCTGTCACATGTCTGAAATTTTTTAATTCCATATTGTTTGTGCTTTTTATTTGGAAGATACTGTATAAAAGCACAGCGGTTCTTCATTCCGATAAGGGATTCGTCGATGCAAACATTTTGAGATGGGATGAAGTAGGTTTTGAAAATAGTATTTATATGGTCATACATATACCTTACCTTCACCCATGGATCGTAGCCTACTGCACCCCTTTCCAGTGATCGATTGGATGTAATGTGAAAAAACGTGGTTATCAATAAAAACCGATTGAGGGACATTGTGTTTTGAAAGAATGGGATGTGTTGAGAGCCCCTAGTATCCCAGTAGGTTTTCAGGTTCTTCTTCACTATCACACCCATGTTCAGCAAAATAGCAAAGAATTTCTTCATTTCTTGTACAGTCACAGGTACCCATTTTTTCCACCGCGAATTTGGTGTCAGAGTGTCTCTCTTCTCATCTATTCTACGATTAGCATAGGCATTTGTTTCCCTAGTAATGAGAAGCCAGAAAGCCTGAGTCAAAAAAAGGTTTATGTAGCTAATTGGACGACTATTTCTTGGAGGAAGGTTCCTAGGCCCTGGGTCCCTAACAGCAAACTCAGTAGCAATATTTTTGGGAGGCTCAGGTGGGTACACCCTAACCCATGGCTGTCTTTGCAAAACAACATTTTGGTCATTCTCAGGAACATTGGCATTAGGCCTAACTTCATTTTCAACGTAATTCTCTTCATTCTGATAACCTATTGGAACAGGATCAGGATCATCCACATTTACTTCTTCCCGATCAGATGTCTCCAATTCACTCAAATGAGGCGAATAGATTTCATCACTTCCAGACGAAAAATCAAGTAATGAAACATCTTCAGGCACTTCAATGTCGCTAACAACAGAGTCTGCATCACTAAAATCTTCATCTAAAGCAACTCTAATATCGCTACTATCCATTTTCACAACATAAAATCATAGATAAAACATAATAAAATCAAAATAACAAACCACTAGTAAACGATATCAAACCACTTGTAAACAACAACAACTAGTGACACCGTCGTCCGTCAACGGCAACGAAACGTAAACATTTATATTTTTTTCATAACATCTGGAGACAGGCAAAAGAGAAAGGAGCTTAGAGACAGACATCATAATAAAGCCTGTTTAGCGCTGATTAAAAGTCATGTGAATTCAGTCCGATTTGGAGCGAAATTGAGTGAGTTATTACACGAACTGTAACAGTTTGCACTACCATCGATACATCGATGCTTGACACCCCAGAGCGTGTCCTTACCATCGATGCATCGATGGTTGACACCGGGAGGGTTAAGAGTTAGTACAACCTTTTATATTTCTTCAATCTGAACACAGAACATAAAACCAAAAATAATACAAAAGCACATGTTATTATTCTAAAACTCCAAAACAGGTGTTGGGAGTTTACAACTCTACACCAGACTAATGGCAGAAATATTTAAATGTCAAAACTGTTATTTATTGAAGACAGACTAAAGGCAAAATAAATCAAAAGAATACTTAGTTATATAAACACAATATACACTGAATAATATTCTATGGAAGAAAATAGGCCTACTTATATACATCATTTTTAAAACACAGAAATAAAATACCTTCAGACTTGTAAGGTATAAAATGGGGAGATAGCACAAAAAAGGTCATAGAAAATCTTATGACTAACCTATTATCTCCAACTGGGATTGTGTATCACATACAAATCAAATCATGTAGTGGTATTCATGAAATCTAAAAGGACCTATTACCTTTTTAAATCTTAATTTAAAATTCAACCAAAGGTTTTTTAACTCACTAGAATCGCTGTCCTCCCCTCTGCGTGCAGTGCCAGTGAAGTAGACGCTGCCGTCCTCGGCCAGCAGTATAGCATGTAGTCCGTCATGGCCTGCAGCCACATGAGATATCCTAGGAGCCTTCGCCACAACCAGCTCCTGCCACTTCCCCCCTCCCCCGGCAGCACCCTGCTTGAGACCCAGCGCAGACGCTTTGCCAGTGTACAGCACCTGAAAATAGGACATTATTGAGGTTAGGCCTCTGTATAGCTCAGTGTATATTGTGCTTCCTTTTTACATTTCAGAAGTTTGCCAATTATTTCCTGTGTAAAGTCAGAAGCTTATTGATGGTTTGAAAGTGGACTCAGTTGTCCTTGATTATTGGGCATTTAAATGGGTAAGGAACTAATCTTATTCAGTAACAAATCCATCAGCTCACCTATTCAACACAAACTATCCCGTCACCTTCGCTGTAAAATATGCTACCTGGAGGTGTCGGCCTCTTACAATCTAATAAGTAAATTTGGTGTGAAGTTTTGTGTGTCATCAACTGCTCCAAATTCTTTTCTCAGATAAGAATGTTGACAAAAATTCCTTCTAGTGTATTTCCAAGCCAAGTGTTTTTAACAAACCTACCCCACAAAATATCCATTTTTGGGTTAGATCTAGATCCTTACATTACCACTGTTAATTTACTTTAAAAATTTTGTGGGAGGTATATAAGACACACTTAATGTATTCCTAGGCCAAAGGTTTTGTCCACAGAAATAACTAACAGATTTTCATATTTGAGTTGCATCTTTGTATTTAAAAACGATGAATTTGACAAACCTTGCCAGATGTTGTACGTATTAGACAGAAGTCCTTGCCCGCAGTGACGGTGGACACCTCGTCATCGCAGCCCGTGTTGAGGGTGTGTATGTTGCTGTCCTCGTCAAACGCTGCAGTGCCAAACACGTCCACGCACTTGCGCGCCAGCTTCAGTGGTAGTTCTGCGCCGGCTCCCACTGGACCACCGGACAGGTTCAGTGTACGCACCACAAAACTGTCCTGTACACAACACAGTGTGAAGACATGCATACTGACAAGAGCGTTAACATACAATCGTAGGCGTTTTCAATCAATGTTAAATTGGTACAACCCTTTAAGAAATTGTTTTTACACCAGTGGCATTTATTAATTGAGAATTTGACACTTTCATTGAAAGGCAGTCCAAACCGCTGAAATTTGTATGATTATGGTGGGTATTGTCCATTTCACACCGAAGTTCAAGACATTAACCACTAGTCTAGCAACACACCTGATTGAATTATTGATTGCCCACAAGGGTAAAACGTGGGTGTGTGGCTGCTTTATTACATTGCTGAGCAAAGAATTACAAGGCCTGAATAATTTTTAAATTTAATTAAATGGGACTTTACTGGACACAAGTTATATCTGTTATAACGTAATCAATGTTAACAGAAACGTTTTAAACTTACATCTCTCGTGGCCGTCACCATTCCAAGCTGGTCACCATCAGAAAACATAACCCCCTCTACCTCTACCCGGATGATCTGCTGAACGCTGAGATTGTTTGTGTCAATCACCACCAGCTCGGCTTTGTCCAGACTGCGATAGTAGAGCGAACCCTGTGACAAGACAACTGTCATGATCATCACTAGACTAATGTGGGTAGTGTACTGGTCTAGTGGTAGAACACGGTCCCTGAGGTCCAAGGTTCAAATCTCACAAAATCACTGATGGATTCTACCTAAGTGATAATGCCACAACTCCTAGAATGTTTAGAGTTCTGGTACAAAAAAAATAGGCTAGTGTTATTTATGAGTAAGCCTAAGCAAAAACGCGGACATTTTTTGGAAAGGTTTTTACAAATTGATCCCCTTGCTTGATATGTTTTTAAATACCTAACTTACTTAATGACTGCTTCAACATCATTAATTTTCGATTCTACAATTTTTGCAGATGCTTTCTGCAATTGCAAGAATAAAAGCTCAGCTAAATTTTCTAACTGGTGCTCGATCACTCATGCTTTTAGGCTAGGTACAGCTCTGTTTAAAAGTTGAAACGCTCGTACACCTCTAACTACACAAAGTCATTACGTATCGTATAACTGACTGCTGACTCTTTACTATAATCACACATAATCAAGGGAAAACAGTACAATTGATAACAAAACCAAACTCAGACCTGAGCGAATCCTAACCAGCCACGCTTGTCACAGTAGAAGTCGGGTTTGTAGAGATAAACATGTCCACGGATAGTCCCTGAATATCCTGAGCCGATCTTAAACAATCCTCGGGGACAATGAAGGTAGAGGTAGTGTCCATCACTAGCCAGGGCTCGACCTGCTGATACGCCTCCGCCATCTGTAAGTTATTTTGTTAATAAGTTTCTTCTACAGTGGTATTTTCTAGAAATTTTAAGGGAATCATCCTGACAATACAGGGCTACTCAAAAATATGAACCCAGTTTCAGGACTTTGTATCTCGAAAAGTATGGATCCGAAACAAATAAGTGTTATACCGTTGAAAAGAGAAAAATTCAAAGTTTTATTTACTCTGATTACAAATGCTCAATATGTCCACCCTGTGCTGCAACGCAAACATCTAAGTGATAGCCGAACTCGCACCACGAGACAGCATCTCTTGCTGTGTCACCTCTTGCTTGTGTCATCAAATTATTGAAATCGCCAAAACCAACGAGATGCCTTTTCTAGTCGGTGGTTGAATACCAAATTCTATGCAAAAATCCCCTGCACTGTAACCGGAGACTCAGTTTTTGCTAACTCTGTCACAAAGAAATCTGATGTTGCATTTTAAACATTTTACTAACAACTGATGGTAAAAACAAAATGGCTGCCCATTGTTGCAATAATTTTTTTTCGATCGTTTACAGAACAATGGCCAAACTAACTTTGAAATGTCTTCTTTTTAATGGTGTACATTTTATGTCAGCCTGATTTATACTTTTTGAGGGATACAAAGTCATGAAGTTGGGTACATATTTTTCAGTAGCCCTGTACTTCGTTTACAATAAGTACCTGGGGACCGAGCTTTGCTCGGGGAAAATTATTAGTTTACTCTGAAATTATTGCAGATACATTAATCCACTCCCAACGTCGTGGACCTGTTTGCCCTCCTTCCCTATACCATTTTTGAATTGCAGATACATAAATGCCACAGACAGTTCCCACACTCTGCACTGCTAGCATTACTACTTCCTTCGCCATTTCCTACGTCATGGACCTGTTTTCCTCCCTTCTCGTAGCATTTTAGGATTGTAGATACCTTAATTTAATTCCCATAAACAGTCCCCAGGCTCCAGACTGCTCACCTTTACTACTTCCTTTACCACTTTCTACGTCGCGGACCTGTTTCTCTCCCTTCCAACGGCATTTTAGGATTGCAGATACCCTAATCTAATGGTCATTAACAGTTCCAACACTCCGGGCTGCTTGCCTTTACTACTTCCTTCACCTCTTCCTACGTCGCAGACCTGTTTCCCTCCATTCCCATAGCATTTTAGGATTGTAGATAGGCCTACCTTAAGCTAATCGTCATAAACATTTCCCACACTCCGGACTGCTCACCTTTACTACTTCCTTCACCACTTCCTATGTCGCAGACCTCTTTCCATCCCTTCCCATAGGATTTTAGGATTGTAGATTCCTTAATCTAACCGTCATAAACAGTTTCCACACTCCAGACTCTTCGCCTTTACTACTTCCTTCACCACTTCCTACGTCGCGGACCTGATTCCCTCCCTTCCCATAGCATTTTAGGATTGTAGATAATTTGATCTAATCGTTATTAACAGTTCCCACACTCCGGACTGCTCAACTTTACTACTTCCTTCACCACTTCCTACGTCGCGGACCTCTTTCCATCCCTTCCCATAGGATTTTAGGATTGCAGATTCCTTAATCTAATCGTCATAAACAGTTTCCACACTCCAGACTGCTCGCCTTTACTACTTCCTTCACCACTTCCTATGTCGCGGACCTGATTCCCTCCCTTCCCATAGCATTTTAGGATTGTAGATAACTTGATCTAATCGTTATTAACAATTCCCACACTCCGGACTGCTCACCTTTACTACTTCCTTCACCACTTCCTATGTCGTAGACCTGTTTGCCCTCCTTCCTTATACTATTTTAGAATTGCAGATACATAAATGTCACAGACGGTTCCCACACTCTGCACTGCTAGCCTTACAACTTCCTTCCCCTTTTCCTACGTCATGGACCTGTTTTCCTCCCTTTCCATAGCATTTTAGGATTGCAGATACCTTAATCTAATCATCATAAACAGTTCCCACACTCCAGACTGCTCGCCTTTATTACTTCCTTCATCACTTCCCACGTCACGGACCTGTTTCCCTCCCTTCCCATAGCATTTTAGGATTGTAGATACCTTAATCTAATCGTCATAAACAGTTCCCACACTCCGGACTGCTCGCCTTTACTACTTCCTTCATCACTTCCTACATCGGGGACCTGTTTCCTTCCATTCCCATAGCATTTAAGGATTGCAGATACCGTAATCTAATCGTCATAAACAGATCCCATACTCCACACTGCTACCCTTGACTATAGAATCGAGTAATCTTCAGTATAATCTTTGCTCAATAGTAACAACTGATGTTTTTCCTTTTTTACTGTATTTTGTTTTGCTAGTATACTGTGGATAGACAAATAATTACAAGTCTTTTGTTTACTTTTTCCTTGTTATTTAATTCAGCCAACATGGTTACCTAGCAACCCATAAGACTAATGTTAAAAAAATGTGATTTTCAGTTTCATTTTTTTACGTAATTAGATTTTTGTTGGCAGTTCTAATTGCAGTAAACTCGTTTTTAGGCCAGAAATAAACTATATACAACATTTGAAGAAAATCGTCGGAGCCGTTTTCGAGATCTTGGTGCAAGCATACATACATACATACATACATACATACATACAAGCAAACTTTGCTCGTATTAGAGTATAGGATTAGGTGCTCTCTGTTTTAATGTCCTGTATCTTAAGTCTTAGGATCACCTTTCAAACACCAATGGTCAGGAAAGACGTATCACACATGCTCAGTAACCACTCGGCTACCAAGCTAACACGCAAACTTTAAAATTTCAACCCAAACGGACATATAAATTGATTGCTTACCTCCAGGCAGTTTAAGCTTGAAGGATGTCAGTTTGGCAGTTTTCGGTACTCCATGAGTGATCCAATCTGGTCTGATAACTTTCCCCAACAAAACACCGTGAACACTTCTCTGTAGAGCTGCCACAGCATTAGGCAACTGTAATGAGATAATGTACACCATTATACCATTGTTAATAGTAAGTGCAATAATTTTATAGTATTACATAATGTGTAATATGTAGATAACCATACAGTAAGTTTTGCCAAGGAAGTCTCAAGATGAATAGATTTGAAGGATTATAGTAGAGAGAACAGGAGGAAGAAGAAGACAAGTGGAAGGAAGATGGAACTGTAGAGAGACTGGAGTCTAGTTAACACCCAGACCAGGAAATAACAAGAACAGGATAGGAAATGTACGAATGTACAGTTACTACTCAATAATCCGACACTTGGTTATCCGATACAATCAATAATCTAACAGTGCACGAAATGAATCATTGACTGATTGTTGGATTCGTAGTTGTCACGCTACCAACTAAGCTACCAAAGCATTTAGAGAACCCAAAATCTACGATACACTGTGACACTCACCGTGATGTTCTGTCCCGCCAGTGTACGAGGGGCCATGAGCAGAGCTGAGGTGGCAGTCAGCAGTTTCCCTGTGTCTCCTCGTACCACCACCAGACTCAACAGACAAGCACATGCTACGGCTGTCAGACTGGCTCCGTCATTGCGAGACCCGGCCGCCTCACTGCCAACTCCGGTGGCAAGCTCGAGTAATAGTTTGAACAACGGCTCTGGAACATTACACAGAACTAAGATTTATCATAGGGATGATTTTTTAATGAAGAATGGATGTACCGCATCATGGACAAATTTATGTTCGGACAGAAGTCTCCCTAATCTCACACTATATGCAGGGAGTTTCTCTACCAGTTCCCATAAAATAAACCAGACTTCCAGGGACCTTTAAATGTAAAGAATCCTCTATACCATGTGCGGTTCTTCTCGATTTTATGTAATGTGCATTATTTTTCTATAGTCTAATAAAAAGGAAGATTCCTGGAAGATCGCAAATTACTAGTAGATTGCTAAGCAAACTATAGGAGTGACAGTCTAATTATTTTTTTTCTTTTCTTTCTAAAGAAATATTTTTTTTACATTTTCTGTAAGGGAACAGCCTAGACCTTTACCTCCTTACTATCTAAAAACAACCCCTAGTTAGAAAGCATTGCATTAATTAGTAGCCAAATGACAAATGCTATCTGGGTACAGAATTAATTCTATTTGTAATCAAACATAGTGTTTAAATATTATAAACTTTACAACTATCCTATTTGTTAAATGCTTCTAAAGTTGGTGGATTAACTTCTTCTCACTTTTTATTTTATATGTTGATAAATACACATGACGTTCGAAATACTTTTGGAAATACAATCAGAGACTTCTGTGACCCATTTTAAAATCAGTGACTTCATTGAGTAGCCATCTATGGAATCAGAAAGTGAAAGTGCTAAATTTGGTTGGACGACAGATCAATGAAGGTCATGAAAATGCAGTAGCAACTCAAAATACACAGGAAACCAATCTTTCACAGATTATCTACACTAGTAAGACTGGCCAACCAATTTCTAAGGATTAAAAGAGAGGAATGTTTGCTTCCAGTATATTATTTCCTTACCAATGACTTCAGCAGGCTCGGCTTTCAGTCCTTCGGGCTGTTGACCTTGAACCACGTCCAGCAGCGCACTGAGAGCCTTGGTGCACAGCTCCGGATATGTGAAGCGACTCTCTCTGATTAGCTCAAACACACTGCGCAGTCCGACACCGACAATCTGTCAAATGCAGGTCAATGAGTAAGAGTAATGCTTACAAATATGAAATAATGTGTCTTAACTTTTTAGTTTTTACCATCAAAACAGAAATAATATTGCATTGAATTTGGCTAGGGAGCCAGTGAATGCACAAATATATAAGTTACATCTCGTTACATACCTTCGGAATGCGAGGCGGAGTACTCTGGTCCTTTTCTCCATCTTGCTCTTCCTCATCTGTATCAGACTCGGTTGCCACACATGTGGTTGGCGAACTACCACTAGACTGGAGGTAGATTTCACATGCCTCCTTCATCCAATTCTCCAATACGACCATTCTAACGGTCGCAAACACAGCAAAGTTTGATGCATTTCCTGGCAACTCCACCTCCGGGGGGCTTGACACATCTCCGAGTGCCTCGACCTTATGACAGTAAATATGTACGTTTATAGTAGTAACTATGTACGTTTATTTGTCTTATGCTAGCAATATTGGTTGTTGTTTCTTTAAGATTGAACTACAAACAAAGAATTTCATTTTGAGATTATACAAGCTGGCCTACTGTCTTCTTACATTTAGACTATCAACTAATTTTATTAATCCCCTGGTTATTAAATTCATACAATTTTGATCAATGTTCATAAGGAACTAGAGGACTTTAGGCAAAATATTTTTGAATAGTATCATCATCAAACTTATTGGTACTGGTATATAAAAACTTGAGTTCCTGGATGTTTTTGTTATATTCTGTATAGAAAATGTATTTTTTAGGTAAATGAACCACTTTGGTATCATATTACCCTCGAACTATGCTCGAATTAGAGTTTGCGTATTTTAAGGGTTAAACTTACTTATGTATTTAAGATACAATAATTTTTTGGAAGTATAATACGTAAAAATACATGCCGCATGCCGGTAGGCCTCATCATTTAAGGTTTAGTCGATAGCATACCTTGGTCTTCTTTTTGTCTTTTCCCCTGGGGCTTTTTCCTTTTTTTGATTTCTTCCATTCCGACTTTCTCCTAAAATAGAAGTATAAAGGTTTAAATTTATTAAAACAAAAAATATCCTAACTTGTAAAATAGTGGGACCTAGCAAATGATGCAAGCATTTTTGAAACAGTTGTTTGCAGCATTTTCCTACTAGTAATATACCGTAATATTGTACAAAATTAAGTTAGTCTGGAGGAAGGCTAAAATAAACAGACAATTTGATTCATTTTTTACTTTACCTTCCTAATCTAACCTATTTTAACTTCAAAACACTTAACTTAATACAGCCCCAAATTCAGATTAAACCCGACCTCCCATCCTCACATGACTATATAAGAGGTGGAAAAAATACTTTAGAGTTGCCTAATTTAGCCAAATAAACAAAAAAAAACGGTATGTAAAAATTTCAAAAGTACCTCTATATCTAAAGTTCATAAATATCCTGGAGAGTTTTAATTGATCTTTAGGTAGGCCTAGTTGATGGGTCTAGGTTTGCCAACTTGCTTGGATGCATCTGCTTTGTTTTTTGTTGATGCTTGAAATTTTGTATATGTAACCCTGTAAATTTATCTCAACTTGTGATTTTACAGCATGTAAGATAATCTACTTATATTGACGTGTCTGCATGCAGCTATGTGTCTTACAGGATTCTTGAGTTGTATTTGAAAGTGAAATAGGTTTCAACTGCCTCAACATAATCTTCAACTTAATGAATACTTCTTCAATGTCCATCTTGTAATTTACTTCTTCATCCAGTTCTGTGTCGTTTATTATTAGTTCTTCTTCAACTTGAGGTCTTAAAGCATATGGCACTAAACGAGGTTTCATGTAAACCGGTCTGGCATCTTCAAGTAGTTGTATATGACCTTCTACCTCAGGAATAACACCAATATTTTGATCAAATACGTCCTTGTAATTCTCAATCAGTCTATCGATATCTGCATGCACATGAGAACTTGTAATACTCCTAAGGTCAGCCCAATCTAGTTTAACTTCCCTTATCCAATCACGTCCAAAGATAGGATCGACCTTCCTGTTGATCAAGTATAGTTTACCAATAAAGTCGTGATTTTTGTACGTGCATCTACTTAATGCCCTACCTCCTACGTTACATCAAAAGCTCTACAACATTTGTGCACCTGAAACGCCACTTCAGAAAGATTATGATGATCTTATAGCTTTATTGAAGCAATACTTGGATCCTCAACCAAGCGTTTGGGCACGGCAACATAATTTCATAGTACGAGAGCAAATGAAAGGTGAATCCGTTACAGATTTTACAGTTGAACTAAAGAAACTTGTTACTCCTTGTGAATTCAAATGTTCTTGTGGAAAATCTACAGCTGAAACTATGCTACGTTTACAGTTCATCAGGGGATTGCGAGACGCTGAGATAAGAACGAAACTAGGCTACTACAAGTAGAATCAGACAAGACCTTCCAGGAAGTCATAAATACTGCTAAGATAATGGAACTATCTAAAACTGAAAATACAATGATTACATCTTCACAATATAAAGCCAAAATTAATCAAGTGATCTCAAAGCCTACTAAACAATTCAATACAAACAGTGAAATGAGAACTAAACCTACAGGACACAACAACAGTTCATTTACATTCCAATCACTTAAGGGAAAGTGTTACAGATGCGGTGACGAAAAACATAAAGCTAACAAATGTAAACTTACTGAACACTGGTGTAGAAAATGTGGAAAGATGGGCCACATCGCTCGAGTGTGTCTGAGCGAGAATTCCATGGCAAAATTTAAGAACTTGAGAAACACATGTCAAGCTGATGTCTTACTTGAAGAAGATGAGTCTTATGAAATGAACTTAATAACTTCAAAAAACTCAGATAAGTTTAATTTGAAGGTGGACATTGAGGGAAATGAAATTACGATGGAACTTGATAACTGGCGACGAGGAAAACCAAAATGGAGTCAACTGACATTACATCACATTTAAACAGTTACAAAAGGATAAGAACGTCAATCAAGGCACAATTGACTAAATTAACAAACAAGCTGAACAATCATGAAATTGATCCTAGGCAAGTTGACGAACGTCTAGAACTTCTGGACTCAACATGGACTAATAAAATAGCTTAAGTTATCGGTATTGATTCTTGATGCTTCTTGGTTGTAGCATATAGGTACCTTAAACCATATACTTTAGCATAAACCTTTTAAAGTTTAAAATTTCAAATCAGTTGTTTATCAGTCTGTTCAGAAGTTATGAGGGCCAACTAATGTGAAAGACAGGCCTGAACTGAATGGGTGGAAGCTTATAACTGATAGGTCCTTTTATAAAAAAAAAACAAAGAGTAAAGAGTTTAAGTCAGCTAGTTTTAAATTATGTTTATATGCCATGACCTAGACTAACAATAAGTTATTCACAGTTAAATTAACTGTTTAACTTATAAGTTACCGTAAGTCCAAGCAGGTATGCAAGTTTATTTATTTATTATTGTATATGAATCAATGTAATGGGTTTTCTGTTGGAAATAAATGAAATAAATAAAAAAGCCTAAATAATGATAGGGTATTGTACAAACTTGACAAAACAAGTGAAAAACTCTGCTGGGTCTAGGCTAGCTAACTTAAAGATGAAATTAGGCATACATTCAATTAAGTTAACTACTCAAAGAAATCAAAATAATCACCACCCGGGTACAGTTTCTTAACTGGGCTATGCTAATATCGATTGAAACTATCAAATTGAAAATATTGATTAATAATCGATATTTTTAAATATATTTATTATCAAATTAAACTATTTAAACCTAACCTAACCAACCAAACTTGCTGATGGTGAAAAAATCGCATGAAGGTTTACTAATCAAATCGATAGTTTCAACCGATATTAGCATAGCCCAGTTAAGAAACTGTACCCCACCACCCGGTTGAAGCTTACTGAAAATGCAAGGCTTAGTATGCTATAAGGCTTTATATTATTGGCCAATGAGGGCCAAATTCTTAACCTAACCCTAGGAAGAAACAAAGTGCTTAAAATGATATTTTATTAGATTCAAAAAGATAAATAACTTACTTTTGTTGATCAGGCAATACTTTGAAAAGTTCGTGGAAATACTTTCCAATAGAATCTGGCTCCGGGAACATTGCAGGCTAGGACAGGCCTAAGGCCTATTCCTTGAGAGGTTGTGTTGACAATAATTATAAAATCATTCGGCTTTTCTGGAATGAAAATTATTTACATGATGCACTAGCTTTATTCGATTTAAAGGTTATCTCAGGATTACCGACTTTTGGATAACGCGAACCGAATTATAACCGAAATCGCGATTAAACGCCCGTGGAAATCGAAATTTGAACGACGCACGAACGCCAAAACAAAACACGACGCCGAACCGAACAGGAACGTCAAGAACAGCCGACGGACGACGACGACGACAACGACGCGACGCCAACTTCCATCTGGACTGACTGAGAGAAGAAGAAGAGAAGCGAAGCCAAACAAACGCTAAACAGCTTGGAAAAAAGGATGACACAGCTGATAACTCAATCCTGTGTGCGTTGATGCTTTTTATGTGAAGCAGTTGATTATAGAGTTACACCAGGCATTATGTTTTATTGTTAGATTATGTTTTATCTAATCCTTACTTTTTCCTTGTTATTAGCGAATTTCCCTATAGGGAAGTAAGCTATTACCGTAGGTGGCATGCGCATGGTAAGACCTAGGCCCGGGACCGATTTACTTTTTCATATTGATGTCCCCAGAGGCCAAAAACACCATTAGTTAAAATTTTTATATACAGTATGTATATATAGTCGAGTAAATATAGGCACTTGAAATAGAACAAATTCCAACAAATAGTTTTTCGACGGTTTTTGGTAGTAATAGGTGTAGAAAGTACCAGGAAAAAAGTCTACCAAAATCGGACAACCGGAAGTCGGGTTTTTCCAAGATGGCCGCCGTGAGGCCCTCAAATCGACAAGATGACTGCAAATTCGTCGATTCATAGTTCCAGGATTGGCCCATTTCCACGAAAATTGGCAAACACGTGTAGAACTATATTTCCAACCTTAAATATGAAAACTAGGCAGACAAAGTAACCCAAAGATGAATTTTCAGGGTATTATGTGCCAAAATATAATATTTGTACCTCAAATATATGTTTTTCTAATATTTTGTACAAAGTTTGTTGTAATTTCAAATTTATCTTTCACCATTATATTCAACACAAAAAACCTAACAATTTAGTATATTGAATCTTTGTTCTGCTTCAATTTGTTACAGAGATGTTGAAAGTAATAACTTTAGTATGTTTTCTTACCGAGATAGCTCAATGTTAATCTTACGGAGAATAAGCATAAATATTAATATTATTTTTCATTAAACCTATATAGATAAGACTTTTTGTTATGCTTCATATTATCTGTTTTAATATTTTTTTACTAAAAATTCTTTTTATGACAGTTACCATTGCAGCAAACCTACGTATTCGGCTCCTCAGTTTTAATCATAAAGAGAAATACCCCCGCCGCAGCAAACCTGCCGTCTAAGCGAATTTCCATTTGGCTGAATTGATTTTCAATTGGTCTATTTAAATAACATTAGGTTTAACGAGTACCTAGGTTTGCTGCTACAAGGAAACTAATAAATAGTGTGTTTTAAGTAAAATGATTATTGCTTAGTATAAAATGAATATATTTGCCAAGTTTCATCAAAAGATATCCATAAACAAGCAAACTACAACATTTTACAATATTCTCCATAAGAATAACATGGGAATTTTAAATTTAAATTTTTTTTTGTTTTCTCCGTAACCAATAACCGTACAAAAACACTTTGATATACTGAATTGTTTGTTTTTTTAAGCTCTTTAAGAAGGTTTAGAGAAAAATTGGAAAATTTTGTATTTTGAGGGTCAAAAGTGAGAAAAACCAATTTTTACCCCATAAAACCCCCCATAAAATCCTGTTCCCATGGTCCGATCATGCTGGATCGCGAACTCATTCAAGTTTATCCCGCCTTACACCTTCAAACCAAATTTCATCAAAATCGGATAAAAATTACTTAAGTTATCGTGTTCACGGACACATATATATATAAATCTATATATATATCTATATATATATATATATGTATACATATATAAAAATTTGAACGAATGGTGTTTTTGGCCTCTGGGGACATCAAAATGAAAAAGTAAATCGGTCCCGGGCCTAAGTCTTACCATGAGACCTACGGTAATAGCTACTTCCCTATAGGGAAATTCGCTAAAAGCAAAAATAAATTTTTTTATTAGTCCGAGAAGTATAGAATATTACCTTAAAAAATTGCAAGAAAACGTTTTATGGCTTTAATGTTGTAGTGTTGGGTATGCAGACACATAGTAAAAATTGCCAAAAATCGGTCTACTGGAAAACCCCTAGAATCAAGATTTAATATGACAGATTTTCTCAACATTGGAAACATAAAAAAAATCCACATGCATTTTCATTGATATTGACTTCAGACCACCACCGATATTTATTGGGTGGTCATTTCTTCATTTCGATAGGGAACGTGTTTTCGGCCGTCATTTTGGATCCCCTTATCGGATAAAAATATTTTTTAAATGTAATGACAGTGTCATTTCAATAGGGAACGTTTTTTTTGCCGTCATCTTGGATCGGCCATATTGGATATAAATAATTTTTTAATGTAATGGCAATGTTGAGACACATTATTTTAAACTAGATTTTCACACCCATTCCATTGCCAAAATGAGTTTTTAAATATATTTTATTCGTTTTAAAGATATATTCAAACGAAAATTCTTCAGCATACATTTCTTAAGGACGTTTCGTATGTTGAACATTTTTTAAGATTTTTTTTCTTATATCTCCAGTACATATTAACGCTTGCAGTTCGTTCTAGCCTTAAACATTTAGTAATGTAAGGGCTTTCATTTGAGCTATTGATCATTAAAATCTGACGAGTTAGAGACTAGTTACCAACCCCAACAAAATATCAAACTTAACTTTTTATAAATAAATCTTTATTAAAATATTTATATCTCGGGTTCTTAATACGCTACCAAGTTCTTTCTGGTTTCACATTACTCAGTAAATGTTTGGGTTAATTTTTTAATCACTAAATAAAATGTGACAAATTTAATATGGGTCGGTCTTATTTAACAATATTTTTTTTCGAGATTTGTCTTTAGTTTAAGACATATACCCCCAAATCGAAAAATTACTCTCAATACTCTTTATAATCTTAAAAGATTAATCAAAGTATTGACTTTTACTGTAGTTATGGATTATTTATTGGGAGTTATTAGAATTGGGGATATATGTACTTAACTAAAGACAAATTTCAAATGCAAATAATTTAATATTAAATTAAGGTGCATGACTCATTTTTTATTAATTAGTCAGATATTATTTAGTGACTAATAAAATAAAAAAAAACCTAATTCTCTACTGAGTAATTTGAGACCAGAAAGAACTTGGTGAACCCGAGATATAAATCATTTAATAAAAACTGATTTATAAAAAGTTAAATTTAATATTTTGTTGGGATAATTATTTTTAGAACGTCATATACAACCGTAATTAGTTTCCAGTCACTAGCACCATTTTCTAGCCAACCATTCGAGATTTCTATGTTCACATTCATTGTCACATATTGCAATTAAAAAATAAAACCCATCAACAATTTTTTCGTTTGACCCATATGTAGCTGTCGAACATGTATACTGCCTCCAAAAAATGCATGTATAAATTGATGGACACTATACAAAACAAAAAGATGCAAATTATTTATTTGCCAATTATAATAGATTATATTCTACAAATATATTATTATTTTATTATTAAAAATATCTGACGTGTTTCAAAATATATTTATAAATACTTTTAATATATAATATAGTTTCAAAAATATTTTATATATATATTTAAAATATTCTCAACACACATTTTTTTTTAATATTTAATAGGAAAAATATACATATAAAATAGGTATATCATAGATTCTATACTTATTTTATCAATATATATTATGAATCTATTTTATATATTCAAAACTTATATTTAATTGATATTTTGCATTGCTTTTTGGGAATATTTTAAATATATATTTGAATATATCAAACTATTATTAAAGATATATTATTTACATATTTTATTCGAGGTTCTATCAAATACAACTTTGAAAATATAAAATATTTATAGAATACATATTTGTGCTACTAGGCTGTTTTAAAACAAGTTTACAACTGTTATGAAACAAGTTTTATAACTGTTTTGAAACAAGTTTTTTAACTGTTTTGATACAAGTTTACAACTTTATTGATACAAGTTTACAACTGTTTTAATAAAAGTTTACAACTGTTTTGATAAAAATTAACAACTGTTACAACTGTTGAAATACAGGTTTACAACTGTTTTGAAACAAGTTTACGACTGTTTTAAAACAAGTTTTCAACAGTTTGAATACAGGTTTACAACTGTTTTAAAACAAGTTTTACAACTATTTTAAAACAGGTTTTACAACTGTTTTAAAACAAGTTTTACAACTGTTTTGAAACATTTTTAACAACTGTTTTAAAACAAGTCTTACAACTGTTTTGAAACAAGTTTACAACTGTTTTAAAACAAGTTTACAACTGTTTTAAAACAAGTTTTACAACTGTTTTGAAACAAGTTTACGACTGTTTAAATAACAAGTTTACAACTGTATTAAAACAAGTTTACACTGTTATAAATCAAGTTTACAACTGTTTTGAAACAAGTTTACAACGGTTTTGAAACAAGTTTACAACTGTTTTGAAACAGGTTTACAACTGTTTTGAAACAAGTTTACAACAGTTTTGAAACAGGTTTACAACTGTTTTGAAACAAGTTTATAACTGTTTTTAAACAAGTTTACAACTGTGATTAAACAAGTTTACAATTGTTTGTAAATAAGTTTACGACTCTTTTGAAACAAGTTTACAACTGTTTGTAAATAAGTTGACAACTCTTTTGAAACAAGTTTACAACTGTTTGTAAATAAGTTGACAACTGTTTTGAAACACGGCGCATTTGGCCCGGGTACAGGGCCCGTCTGGGACGGGTTCGTCGCAACGGCCCGGGCCATGTCACTAGCCCATCGGCACTGGGCGACATGTATATTCCTGTCCAACAGAACCATATGTACATTAACCCGGGTGACTTGGCGGGCTCTTCTCCGTCGGGCTGGCCGATTTGTCCCGGGCGATTTTGCACACCCGGGCCACCCGGGCTCGGGTACAGTGCCCGGGCCATGTCACCGGCCCGTCGGCGCTGGGCAATTTGTAAAGCCCTGTCCCACCGGGTCACCGTCATTGGCCCGGGATTCTTAACGAGCCCTTCCCCGCCGGGTCATAGACAAAACATACTTTCTTAGGCACAGTATTTGATTTACGTAGCTAAATAAGGCTATAACAAAAAGCATGTTGTCTTAAACAATTTATCGGTGAATCACATTCATGGATCCATCTCATGTATGGAAAACTTAAACAGGTCCACGATGTAGGAAGTGGTGAAAAAAGTAGTAAAGGCGAAAAGTGTAGAGTATGGAAAAAAGTAGTAAAGGCGAAAAGTGTGGAGTGAAACGTTTGTGTCAGTTATAAAATTGTATCTTAAATACTAAAATGTTATGGGAAGGGGGGGACAAGTCCACGTAGGAAGTGGTGAAGGAAGTAGTAAAGGCTAGCAGTGGGAAGTGTGGGAACACTTTGGGGCAGTTAGATTAACGTATTTAAGAAAATAAATTGCTATATGGGAAGGATTAAGGGGGGAGTTCAAATAAAAAGTGAAAATCTTTATTTACAAACCAATTTTACTCATACTACACCTTAAGGTGAAGTTATATACAACATACAGAAAAAAAACTGGGAAAAAATTTTAAAGGCGAAAAGTGTGGAGTGAAACGTTTGTGTCAGTTATAAAATTGTATCTTAAATACTAAAATGTTATGGGAAGGGGGGGACAAGTCCACGTAGGAAGTGGTGAAGGAAGTAGTAAAGGCTAGCAGTGGGAAGTGTGGGAACACTTTGGGGCAGTTAGATTAACGTATTTAAGAAAATAAATTGCTATATGGGAAGGATTAAGGGGGGAGTTCAAATAAAAAGTGAAAATCTTTATTTACAAACCAATTTTACTCATACTACACCTTAAGGTGAAGTTATATAAAACATACAGAAAAAAACTGGGAAAAATTTTTTTTCCGCTACCCATGGGTGGGGGGGGGGATTTTCTGTGTATTGCAAGGGTTTGCGAGAACATAAATTTCTCAGGTTTTAAAAGTGATAGAGGGTTGTTTTTTTTAATCTGTTCCTGAGAGTAATACCTACAATCTCTAGCATGGGTTTAAGGAAATTATACAAAATAAAATTACAGTAAATTTTTAAATTTCGAAATATTTTTTTTCTCCAAAATAACTGGTAAAAACTATTTTTTTAATATATTAATGACATCATTTTTACAAATCCATGCTAGAGATTGTAGATCTTGTAAAACTGAACAAAATAAAAAAAAATTCATCCTTCTATCTAGTATAGAACTTGAGATATTTATGTTCCCATGCGAAAAAAGTAAACTTTAGAAAAACGACCGAATACCAAAATACGGTGCTTTTAGTGATTGACAAAAGTGCAACTTCAAAGTATTTTTTTTATGAGAAAAAAATCGTATAAGGTTGGTTTTAGCTGTTTTATGTTCAGAATTTAATATATAATAAAAATAAAATAAAAAAATAAAAAAATTGTAAAAATTCATATTTTGGCCATTTTTGGCAACGACCGAATACCAAAACACGGCGCTTTTAGTGATTGACAAAGTGCTACTTCAAAGTATTTTTTATGAGAAAAAAAATCGTATAAGGTTGGTTTTAACTGCTTTATGTTCAGAATTTAATATATAATAAAAAAAATAAAAATTTTTCAAAATTAAATAAAAAAATAAAAAATTTTTAAAAATTCATATTTTGGCAATTCTTGGCGTGAACTCCCCCCTTAAGGGAAACATGTCCACTACGTAGGAAGTGGTGAAGGAATTATTATAGGCTAACAGTGTGGAGTGTGGAAACATTTGTATTTTGTATTATATTTATAAACATTTTTTTCATTGATTGCTTTTTCATAACCCATGAAACATGATCGCTCCGCTCAACTGGTTTTCACTGATGAAAGCAATCATAGTAAATTAAATAAAATGCATTTTTTTTAATTCAAAGCAAATTATTGGCGGCAGACTGAAAAGCCATACCTATACCTTAATAAAATTCATGAATAAACCTATACTTCTTTATAAATATACAAAATGAAGCTCTAAACTGGATAAAGAATTACCTGATGGGCAGACAACAATTCGTAGAAATAAACAACCAAAATAAAAACATGATAACTACAGTCAAATCCTCACTTAAAACAACAGCTAGGGGAATACCACAAGGTTCGATCCTGGGACCCCTATTCTTCATAATATACATCAACGAACTCCCAAATCAACTTCAAAATGGCCAAAAATGTATCCTGTTTGCAGACGACTCTACGCTAATTATCCCCACAAAATCAAGTGCAAACAATTGCCAAAAGATAAATAAGACACTCAACCATATAAAGTCTTACTGCAACAACCTAAAGCTAAGCATAAATAAATCAAAAACCGTCCATATCAATTTCACAACCAACAGTACAAAAACAAACGACGACTGGTCACAGCTAGAGATCCCAACTGCAGAACAGAAATCACTAAATTCCTTGGCATCACAATAGACAACAAATTAAACTGGAACAAACATTCAACTCTGCAAAACACTGGCATCAGCAGTATTTCTAATAAGAAGAATAAGAAATGTAACCAACCAGAAACAGCCCTCATAGCATACCATTCATTATTCACTTCACATCTGCGCTATGGAATTGCAGCTTGGGGATCTACAGCTCAAAAAAATATGGAAAAACTTTTCACGTAGCAAAAATAGCAATCAGAACAATAACCAGATCAGAAGAATCAACCAATCACAAGCCCCTTTTCATTTAACTCAATAATGACATTAATCTCACTTAATTTATATCTGCGAAACCATAATCCTAACCATCCGATTCAGTCCCAACCTTAAGCACGGGTCACACTAGGCTGGCATCAGCGGCGAATTGAAAGAAGCCGCTACTGTCAGCTTGATGTGACCACAAAATTCGCAGCTGGCACCGTCAGCAAGCGACTATTTGTCAGCGGCTGGCGAAGTTGGACATGTTCAACTTTTGGTAGCGAGGCAGCGGCGAATAGAGGTCACGTGACCACTCGCACTCGCTGACGCCAGCGAGCAGCGCAGTCTGACCACTTGTAGAAGCGTGCCAGCGGCGACCAAAGATAATTTCCAACTTGGTTTGACAACACAAAAGGACAAAAGCAACTGTTTAAATTTTTTAATTAGAGGTTTAACTAATTGTAGTAATGCCTGGAATGTATGTGGTGGTGACTGACATTCGTAAAACATTTTGGTCTCTTCTTGCGGTTAAGCATCTTATAATAAAATTATTTCTCTTTCATACATCCTCAATTCAATATTAAGTAGTGCTGGATGAGGACCCAAAAAAGGACGAAATGGCGACAAGAACTGAGCTTTAAACTAGGCGATTAAAGTAGTATTTCTAGCATAGAAATTACTGAGCTTAGGTGGTCGGGGAAGCAGGTTATTGATTTTTTATTCCAAAACTAAACGTACAGTACTTGTGGGACGTTTCTTTAAAGAAGTAAAAACGTCAAATAAGCACTATAAGCAGCTTACAGTGATTTGTTACAAAACCTCACACATCGTTAATATCAAGATCACCAGCGGCTAACAAGCAGCCTAGTGTGACCCGTGGAAAAGCCGCTGCTTCGTGGTGCTGGTGCCAGCCGCTGATCACCAGCGGCTGCCAAGCAGCCTAGTGTGACCCGTGTCACACTAGGCTGGCTTCAGCGGCGAATTGAAAGAAGCCGCGATTGTCTGACCACAAAATTCGCAGCTGACACTGAGCTAACTCAGCCTGGATTGGTGAGCCGGTGATGCTGGTGCCAGCTGCTGATCACCAGCGGCTGGCGAACAGCCTAGTGAGACCCGTGCTATAGACAATAGCAGCACAACCACAACACCCACCAGAAGTAAAATAAACATAGACATACCTCAACACAGACTAAAAAAAAAACAAACAACACATCCACATACTCTGGATCAATGTTCTACAATCAATTCCCAACATCTAAAATCAAGCACACCCAATTTTTGAAAAAATTAAAATTGTACATTGTACCTTACTGCAAAGCCGTACGACTCAATAAACGAATACATAGAGGAGCACACATACACAAAACATAAATACAGGAAACCTGAAACACAGAATGTTTAATCTATGAGGAAATTACTGAGCTCAGTGGAGGAAATCAAACAGACGCCGAAAAGATTCCCTCTGATCCAGCTCTGATCCACGATCTCATTGGCCTCGTCGTCCTCGTCATATTTCTCCTGTTAGTCGCTCCGTTCCGCGTTCCGTCGTTGGTTGGTTAGTTTCGTGTTTCGGTTCATTTTCATATTTGTTTTGTAGAAGTTGTATTCGTTTCGTAATTCGTTGCGTATCGTATGTATTGTATAGTTATAGAATGGTTTGAGTTTGAGACTGAGAGTTTGTTTGTATTTATGTTTAATGGCGGTGGTATGTCAACATTAAGAATGGTGTTTACGAAAGTTTTTTAACAACATCATAGTGCTTATTTCACCAAGAATATTACTAAACTAATTTTCAGCCATGCCTGCAGTGTTAGAAAGTATTGAAGTTGATAACTTCAAATCATACAAAGGCCAATATACTATTGGCCCTCTCAAAACCTTTACCGCGGTGATTGGACCTAATGGATCAGGTAAATACTAACATTCTTACTATGGTTATTTGTAAATAAAAGTAGTCATCCTTCGCCTTAAAGCTGGAATCGAATAGCCTACTACTACTTTTTTATAGCTAGGCCTAAGAATATTTTCAAATTAATGGGTTCAGTTTTAACGTACCTAGGCCTAGGCCTAGCCTCCAAGCAGTTCAGGCTAAGTTAGCCTAGCCAATAAAGCTTATAACGCTGGTCTAGTTTTTTTGAACGTGGAAAATCCCATAGATTTTACTTACTAGGTAGTACCTAGTGATTAGGTAGTACCTATACCTACTTAATCATCGAACATCCCCGATCAAATGCAATCTGTATGTAGGCCTACCAGTTTGTTTAAATGTAGCCCTAAGTTAGCCTATATACGTGCAAGTTAGGCCTATTGCACTTCTGACACCATCAATCCCTTTTGGGTAAAAGATAAAGAATCGGCAATAAGCTAGGTCTAAGTTAATACTTCAGGGCTTCCACCCATCCCGATTCTGTTGGGAAAGTCCCAACTTCGGGTCCGTATGCCCGTATTTAAGCATAGGCAATGTTGAGGTAAATGCACCAGTAGGCCCAACTTAACTTAGTTGACCCGGTATTTGTTTACTTTAGGGGCTTCTAACGAATTTTGAAAAAAATGTTTTTTTCTCATTATTTGGCCTATTTTGAACACTTTTTACAATTGGCACTTTTGGGGCAAACGCCTATTTCACCCTGAAAATCGCATTTGAAAATTGCAAAAAGTGCTAAAAATTTGCGTAGTTTTTTTACTCCTAATGTGTTTTTACTATTACTAAGGACCTACAGAACTAAATATAATCCAATCTCACTCTAGGTCTAATCTAACCTAACCTAACCTAACCTAACTTAACCTAACCTAACTTAACCTAACCTAACCCAACCCTACCTAACCAATGCTTAGGTTAGCAATATGCCGAAAATAGCGGATTATTAGTTAAACCAAGGTTAGGTTAGTTTAGTTTAGTTAAGGTTAGGTAAGGTATGGCTGGTTATTGAGTTATTATTTAAATCAATTAGCCTAAAATCACCTGAATATTTTAAATCTAACCTAACCTAACTTAACTTAACCTTACGTAAACTAACCTAACTATATTTAAACTAACCTAACCTAACCTAACCCAATCCTACCTAACCTAACCCAACCCTACCTAACCAATGCTTAGGTTAGCAATAGGCCTATGCCGAAAATAGCGGATTTTTAGTTAAACCAAGGTTAGGATAGGTTAGGTTAGGTTAGTTTAAATATACATCTGCTTATTACTACAATAATAAAAACACATTTAAAGAAAGGCAAGGGGGGAAAAACCTGATTTTCTAAGTAAAAATGGGGCGATTTTCAGGGTGAAAAAGGCGTTGGCCCCAAAAGTGTCAAATGTAAAAAGTGTTGAAAATAGGCCAAATAATGAGAAAAAAACATTTTTTTCAAAATTCTTTAGAAGCCCCTAAAGTAAACAAATACCGTCAAGTAATGTCAAGTAAAAAATTGACCCTATAACCCTAGATGGCTATTGCACGTAAATTTGATGTAGGACAAGTTGTGTGTAACTTAGCGTCTCAACCCCCACCCCCTCAACCGACACTACCCTCCTTCCAGCAGTGCTCTCAGCAGTCATTCGCCTTGTGATGGCTGCTTTGGTTGGGTTGTGAGTTATAGACATCCCAAGAACAAAACAACCTGCGCAGAAACAAAAAGATCATATGCGGTTCGTGCCGGTAAATTAGGTGTGGCGTACCATTCAAACCTGCGTGGCTCGAAATGGCCCAGGATTCTTTAGTTTCTGGTATGTCTATAGTGTGTTTCTTTATGTCCTTGCTAGTCGGTTTCTTGGAACGCATGTCAAACTTATGTGTCAATACCCTTTGTTTTTACTAAAATGGCGGGCTTGTTTATAGTAAAACGGCCGGCTGTAGGCCTACACCAAATTTATCTATTGATAAGCTACCCTTAGCGTCATACTGTATGAGGCTATCTTACTAGGCCTAATGCATTGCAACTTCTATGTACATAAAATTTACGTAATTGATACACTTAGCGTCATACTGTATGACGATAGGTCCCTACCCAGACTTTTCTGGAAAGCCAGGGATAGGGTGATTATATCTATCTCTGGACCTGCGCTGGCAGTCACGTGACCTCCTCGCTGGTGGCAGCCAGCCAATGCGAACCCCTAGTAGTAGTCACCAGCGGCTGGTGAATTATCATAAGTCTAGGTTTTTTTAACTAATATAATGGTTTTAAATACCTTCAGTCACCAGTTCAAATAACTTTTTTGCATTTTGTGCCCTCTTCCTGTTGCAAAGCACAGGTGCAACAGCTAGTTTTTTAATATATAAGATGTAGGACGCAAGATAGAAGCACAATTTAGGCCTAGGCTAGGCCTACTTATTGTCCTGAACATTCAATATACCTATATCTAGTTTAACTCAAAGTTTCAGCCACGGAAATTATGAATAGGCTATATGAATACTGGTTTGTAACCAATAAACAGCTTACTAGCTGAAGACAGACACAATTGCAACTGTCAAATAATGCACTGATTTCAAGAACAGTCAATACCTAGCTATCAATTTTGCTTTTGGGTCAGCAAATTCTGTGAGAATGTAGTTTCTGATTGCCTCTTTTGTATCATATAAAAAAAAACAAAAAAAAACTATTGTCTTACTATAAAATCTCTGTTGGTAGGCCTACCTGAGTAAAAAAGGATTTTTTTTAGCCAGTGTCACTTAGTTTTGTGGGAGTGTTGGAAGAACCTATCCCATCTGCGCCAAAGTATGGAATTTGTTGTTTACATTTAAAGACTACTAATAAAAGCTTTAGCCTAATGATGTCTAATGATACCTATCATCATTAAAAGCAGAGTGAGTTGAACAGTTACAAATTCTTATAGTTTTTGGTTTTATATTATTTTGTAGCCTAAGTAGAATCGTCAGATATCAAAGTTTTACAATAAAAATGATATTAAGGTATTAATTTTAGTTTTAAAACCCAGGGTCCTCTTAAGTTATGATTAAATTTCACTATTTTTCAGGTAAATCAAACTTCATGGATGCCATCAGTTTTGTTATGGGAGAAAAGACTTCTTCCTTGAGAGTGAAACGTCTCAGTGACCTGATCCATGGTGCATCAATTAATAAACCAGTGGCTAGAACGTAAGTTACATTCTCCATGATATGACATTCCATTTCAAATAGTTTTTTACAGTTTAAAAATGTACAATGCCGTTTTTATAATTTGTTTGTTTTTATTATCCTGGGTAAAAGAAGATTAAATCATCTAAAGTCCAACCTAATATTTAATCCATTGTAGCCTACACTCATACTTCACTATCTCTGCTTCAGTGTTTACTATCAGAGCAATTAATAAAAAAAAAAAAAAAACAGGAGTCCTTGTGTAATAGGGTCCCTATGGATTTCCGCATCAGTATAAAACAGATTTTGTTTAGTTAAATTTAGTACAGTTCAAACACGCTCGGGCAGAGTTTTTGGACTATTGGCTGTAGTCTGGTGTATTCTGCATCTAACAAATCTATTGGTATTTTTTGACTTCATGTTTTTTTGTGTTACATCTCCTTGTAAATATGGATTTTTTTAGACGGTTCTCAGTAGCACTTTTTTTTACTGAAAGTTTATTTCACCAATTAGGCTACTATTTTTGAGTCAAAGTTTTTCTCTGTCTAAACAACGACATCACGGTTTTTTTTAGGCCTTAAATGAAAGATTGACGGATCATGTAATTTTAATTTGATATCCACACTGTAATGTTTTTATCCACTGATTTATCATGAGTCATGAAACTAATAGGCTATATTTTTGTTTTTTTTAAGGGCTTCTGTAACGGCTGTGTTCAGGATGGAAAACGGATCCGAAAAGAGATTTACCAGAACTGTAGAGGGGACATCATCTGGATACAGAATCAACCGAGAAGTAAGAGACATTTCTTTAATGCACCAACATCGTCATTTAAATTAGTGATGTGTCAAAGCCGAATCTCAAATCTCAAAACCATCAAAACTTAGAAAAAGTTTCGGTTTGGAGATTCAATCACCAAGTTTCGAGATTCAAAAGTTTCGAAATTGAAGATTTTGGCAAGTTTTATTTTTGAAACTGCTGACATTTTTTTGTGCCTTTGTTATTGTTTTTAACACTGTTTCCAAACAAGCTGGTAGCAACAGAGCAAACATCACCATTAACAGTAATGAAACAAGTAAATTTTATCCTGAACTTCAAAAGGTATCTTAAATATCGAGTATGGCATAATCATACGATCATGCGATTTTCTCATAAGTTTAAGAAAAATGGTATTCCTACACCCACATAAAGTTATAAAGCTAATTTTTAGTCTCAGTTTAAAGAAGAATAAATAGTGTATTTTAAACTAAAACTATGTTTTTTTGTGTGTAGTGTGCCGGGAAGTATGTCTTGAACAGTATGTATGCATAAAAGTATAACAGTGAATTATTTTTAAACAGTTAAAGAGTAAATTTAATCAGACTCACAGACTACTGGCTTAAACACCTGGTTTTCCTGGTTCACATAAATATGAATTGTTCCTGCCAAACTGAATAACATATATAGTTATAGATGTTAGGATAGTGAATCACTGTATTTAAAAACTTTACAATAATCACTTTTATTATTATTAACTAAGAGATAAGGAACTACTTTCATCCTACACACAACCACAGGCAGAACACTATCCCTGAAGTTGATTATGATTTGACATGTTTGACAGAGCTACGTCACAGCTGACATGCTAGGACAGCTGATTGTCAGAGTTACCAATGCATCCATTTAGTACATCACTACTATAAGAGGTTACAGTCCAATGTTTGTCAAGAACCGCTGATAAGAGAGTCCAATATTTCTTATCATTGCCCTGTGTATCACCTGTTATCTTTGATGGTCACTTTTGAGCAAAATAGCAGGATGTCTGCTGTTGATAATAGCAAACACAAATATAAACTAGGTGAAAAAGTGTTTGCTAAAGTAAGGGGTCATTCTCACTGGCCTGCTTTTATTGATTCTCATGAAGCAAACTTGAAGTATAAAGTCATTTTTTATGGCACATCAGAATCAGCTATTATTAAGGAAATAAATATTTGTCCTTATTTAGAAAATAAAGCACGGTATGGGAAACTGAAAAGTAAACATTTTCTAAAGGCTATTAAGGAAATAGAGCTCTCATTTAGAGATGATAAAAAATTGAATAAGTCTCAAAATAGGAGTGCAAATAGTACAAATCAAAATGAATCTACCATCATAGTTGATGAGCCCTCTGCATCTAGTAGCCCTTTGCATCCACCTAGGTCTTTTCCTAACAATACTGACATGACAATAAGTAGCAATGTTGATGAAAATAATGTAAGCAAACCTGTCAATACTTGTGAAGTTAAAGGGTGTGACGTGCCCTTGATTGATCTGACAAACAATTTACCCTTAAATACTGAGGTTGTCTCCACTGGTATAAATACCATCAACAAACAAAATGATCTCTGCCTGTCTCTGATAAATAATGAGTGGCTGACTGATGAAGTCTTCATGAAATACTTTGAATTATTGACTTTGAATATAGTAAAAAATAACCAAATTTTATTCATAAATCCGGTTATTGCTCAGGCAATTAAATGTTTACAAGACATCGATTTTATCCTGGAAAACCTAAATATGTTGGAGAGTAAACACATTCTCATACCAGTTAATGATTCACCAGCAGTCGACAAACCGGGGGGCTCAGGCTCTCACTGGAGTTTGCTGGTATATGTGTCAGCCCAAAGCAAGTTTCTACATTTTGATTCGGCTGGAGCCGCTAACTATGAACATGCTCTACAAATTGCTAAGTCACTGCATAATTACCTACGAAATAAAGGGCCTTTGGATCTATCAACTGTTTCTGTCTCCAAACAACTTAATGCATATGACTGCGGGGTATATGTACTTATGTATGTAGACATTATCGTACAACTAATTCTACAGGAAAGGCCATTCGATGCTTGGAAATCACTGCTCCCAGACATCACTGAGTCGGATCTACTAACAAAGAGGGGACAGCTAGCTATATTATGCAATGGCACTCAGCTTAAATTGGCAGCAGATGTAATAAGCACTTTAATGGTGAAACCGAAGAAAAACTTTAGAGTGACTCCTGCAGCAATTATGGACAGAGAAAGTGAAAGACCAGCTACACAGCTCAACATTAGTAGGTCTACTCAATCTAATGTTCATCAAATGGTTGAGAGAAATAATATAGTGCAAGAATGTAACAATGGTGGCTTTAGGCATCAGAAGAATGCATATAGACCTAAACATGCTGTAACTTACTATCCATCAATATCGAATAGGTTTTCTTCACTGAATAGTCATCAACCAGAAGAAGAAAGGTTACCAATTAATGCAACACCTTCATATAAGGACAAAGTTATTTGCAGGGACAGCACATGTAAGAAAACCAAATATGCAGCAAAACTACATCGAGACAACAAACAACTATCATCAGATACAAACATGGTGAATTTATCAAACAGAAACGGGAGTCAATCTCGGTGTTCCAAATTACATGTGTTTGCAGATAGCCACGGCAAAGATTTGGGAAACTTAATCAAATCATTGATGCCCCGATCCACTGACACCTTTGTTTTAGCAAGCTCAGGAGGTAAACTGGATCACATATTAGAAAAAACAAATAACAAGATCAAAGATTTTAAGGAGAATGATGTAGCAGTAGTAATTGCAGGTGCCAATGACATCGGAGACACAACTATAAAAATGAAGAATAGTGAAGATAACATTCCAGCGGTCTTAAACAAATTTGCCACAACTAACAGCCAAACAAACATCATTTACGTTACGCTCCCCTACCGTTTTGACTTATCTTGGGACCACCCTATTAATAAAGAAACACATGCAGTCAACAGTGAATTGAAAAAAATGAGACATCTTAATGTTGTTAGTATTTGTGATTTTAAACGTAGATTTTTCACCATTCATGGGCAACACTTGAACAAACACGGAAAACAGTTGCTGAGCAGAAGAATTGCTGACACTGCCTCAAACCTGACCCTTACAAAAAGATTGAAAGAAATAGAATCGAAAATATTTTTAAAAGTTGTTGAGGATTCTATGGATACTTATATTGACAAACATTGCAGTAGATCAGAAGTTTCATATGCACACTGCATTTCAGCAGATCTTGACAATACAGAGAAAAATATGAGTCAAGGGGTTGCGACTGTGTTCAGAGACAAATTTGGAAGACCAACTAAGGAGGATCATTGTTTCACTAATTTGACATATCAAAAAACTAAAACGGGAGCAGCTGTTTACAGTCTTATTACAAAGCCTAAATATTTTCAAAATTTCAACAACTTAACTGAATATAAAAATAACTACAATCTAGCCTTTTCTCAACTAGCGGATGATTTCAAGGCTAAAAATCTGCAAATTCTAATATGTTCAACTATGGGTTGTAATCGTGATCGAGTCCCACCCAAGCATTTTGTGACCAATTTATTGAAATTTCAAAATGTAACGGGAGCTACTATTTTTATCATAACAGGCAAAAAAGACCCACACAAATTTCTGAAAAATAGATTAAAGCAATCAACTTTTGTAAAGTACCTGAAGCAAATAATAGTTGACGAATACTTCAAGAGCTGTGCTGGACTAAAGGCCTTAGTTGACACCTCCAGTGGTAAAATTACTGAGAGAGTAAATACTGAAAAAACCAGGCCTATTTGTATTGCTGACAGAGAAGATCAAGAACATCTAAGATCAAGTATACAACCTGCATTGCTGACACTGTCAGTTAGCACCAACCACCCTACTACCGAGCCGACTGATGTACCTTCACCTTCCCTGACTGAGACGAGCAACAGCAATCCTGAATCTGAGACGAGCAACAGCAATCCTGAATCTGAGTCCATTCTATCATCTCGAGAAGAAAAAAGTGGTGTTCAAAGTGATATGGGCAATCATGTGATTGGTGAATTAGTGAATGTTTCTTTAAATCCTATACCTGAAGATGACTCTTTAATAGATTTAAGCTCAGAAAATGTAAACAAAAAAATCAACTTGGAATGTGAAACCATGCAACTGAAAGATATTGGTAATCAGACCTCCACAAGTCACTTTTTAAACTCCCAGGCATGGCCATGCCTGGTAGCAAAGTGAGTGTAGTACCTAAATCTTTAGAATTAACTTCTAAGATCAATAATGATAAGAAATCATGTAGTATATCTGTCTTCCATCAAAACATACAATGTCTAGCAACTAGAATTGACTCATTAATTATCACAATTGAAGAATTAAAGCCACATATTATAATTTTGACTGAACATAAATTAAACCAACATGAAATAACAAAACTCAAAATACCAGGGTATCAAGTTTCGACCTGGTACACTAGAACAGATTTCGGGGGAGGGGGGGTATTAATTTTGGTGTCAGAAAAAATTGAATTCAAAAATATAATGCTAAGTTCATTACAGGCGCTTAATCAAGATAAAATCTTTGAATCTTGTGTAACAGAAATTAAAGCAGGCAAAGAAAAATTTTTAGTGGCTGGGGTATATAGAACACCATCACAAGACGTTGATATATATTTGGAAAAACTAAGTGAACTTTTGAAAATTTTAAGTAAAACTGACAAAAAAATTTTATTGGGGGGTGATTTTAATATTGATGTTTTGAGGGAAGACAATAAGAAAAAGAAGTTTGTTAATGTTTTGCAGATGCATGGTTTTAAATATACAATTAAAATTCCAACTAGAGTTGCTGAAAAGAGTTTATCTGCCATTGATAATTTTATTACTAATTTAGATAACAATTTTTTTGAAGTAGAATGTTTAATTACAGCATTGTCAGATCATGATGGACAACTTTTTAAAATCCTCAGTTCAAAAAGTACAAAAAACAATTTAAATCTTAAAATACATAAGTATGAAAGGAGGTATAAACAAGAGAGCATTAACCTTTTCATTTATGACCTTTCCAAAGAGGATTGGACAAAACTTTATAACTGTAATGTGGAAGACAAATTTACTTATTTCTATAACATTTTAAAATATTACTTCAATTTGCATTTCCCTAAAACAAAAATAGTTTCCAGTAATGTAAATAATGGATGGATTGATGATGAAATTATCAATGAGCGTCATGAAATAATTGCAGAACATGACTTATATAGAGATGATAGAAGTAACATAGCATTGAAGAATTATATTAAGGAACACAAGAAGAGATACAAAAATATGATAGAACTTAAGAAAAAAACCCATTTTGACAATAAAATTAGAAATTCTACCAATGTTAACAAAACTGTTTGGAAAATTGTGAACACTGAAACAAAAAGTAAAAAAGAAAGATGTCATAGTAATATTTCACTCAAACATAACGGCAAAAAAATAGAAGAACCATATGCTGTCGCAAACATCTTAAATGATAATTTTGCTGAGATGGTTGACAAAAAGGTTTTACCAAAATTAAAGAAAACCCAACAACATTCTGATCAAAGTATTTTAAACATAAAATTTAGGTGTCAAACCATCGATGAATCAATTTTGACATCCATAATTGATTCAATAAAACCTAAATGGTCATCTGGTTATGATGAAATTCCAATCAAAATTATTAAAGAATCAAAATCTGTTTTGTTAAAGCCACTTTTACATGTGATTAATACATCACTAATAACAGGCGTTTTTCCCGCTCAACTAAAAATATCAAAAATAATTCCAGTATATAAAAAAGGTGATAAAAAAGATCCGCAAAACTATAGACCATTGGCAATTCAGCCTGCTCTATCAAAGCTATTTGAAAAAAGTTTACTTTTTCAACTAGTAGATTATTTTGAAAATAACCACTTATTAGATCAAGAACAGCATGGATATAGAAAAAATAAATCTACTACTACAGCTCTAATTTCTTATATTGAAAATGTATTACATAAGTTGGATGAGGACAATTATGTTGTTGGCGCCTTTTTAGATATGTCTAAGGCTTTTGATAGCGTGAATCATTTAAAGTTACTGCAAAAACTCAGAGCATATGGAATTAGTGGTAAAGAACTGGACTGGATAAAATCTTATTTAGAGGGCCGCCAACAGTTTGTTAACATTGGGTATTTAGATGGAAATAAGATGTACAATGTTAGATCTAATGTTAGGGAAGTTAAGTATTCTGTTCCTCAGGGATCTGTGTTGGGTCCATTCCTGTTCCTGTGCTACTTGGGAGGGATGCCAAAACATTTATCTGAACGGGTAGAAAACAATGCCCTCTGCTTGTATGCAGATGACATAAGTATGTCTATACATGAAAAGAATATTGAACTTCTTGAAATAAAAATGAAAGATTCGCTCAAAATAATTGGAGATTACCTAAATGAAAAAAATCTTTTACTTAATGAAAACAAAACAACCTTTATCAAATTTGAATGTAAAAAGTCTGGCGAAAAGATATTTGAAAATTTTGCATGTGAAACCAAATTTTTAGGTCTAACCTTGGACAGTACACTAAAGTGGACCTCACATGTCAATAAAATATGTAATAAAATTAGCTCCGGTATTTTTACTTTAAGACGACTATATCCCCTTTGCAGTAAAGAAATTTTGCGTGTGGTTTATTATTCAAATATACACTCCCATATTGCTTATGGCATTGAAATTTATGGTGGAACAAATAAATCTAACTTAAATGAAATTTTACATTTACAAAAAGAGGCCATAAGGTGCATCCTTAATTTAAATGAAAATGAATCATGTAAAAATCGTTTCAAAGAATTAGAATTCTTTACAGTTTACAGCCTCTATATATATAAGACTATATTATATGTTAAAAGCCGGGAGTCGCAACTGCAAAGACAGCAAGATGTACATACTTACAATACTAGACACAAACAAAATTTTATAATTAAAAAGCATAAAAAAGAAAAATTTAAAGAAAGTCCTGATTATATTGGGGTTACATTTTTTCATTCCCTCCCTTGTAGCATCAGAAATGAGGAAAACGGAAATAAGTTCAAAAAAAGGCTTAAGAATTTTCTAATTAGTGGAGAGTTTTATAATTTTGAAGAATTTACTGCACTATGTTCAAATATGTAAATAAACATGTAAATATGTAAAAAAATAAAAAAAATAAAATGGATCAGGAAAATGGTTTTAGTATTAGTTATAGTTTAAGATTAAGACGCATTCATGTACACTTTGTTGTATGTTTGAATAAAGATTTATTTGACTTTGACTTGACTTGAATACTAAAACTGGTACAATTCAGTTTCACATTAATATTTACTAAACACAAAGAAATATTGACCACTAAATGTTCTAATTATTCTCATATTCATGTTTATGCTGGTGTTAGAAGTTTAATTTTTTTTTTTTTGTTGGTTGTTTATGAAAAATAATGTTTGTTTGGTTTTATTATTATCAGTCACATTCACATATTTATGTTGTCACGGTCAGGAGTCGATCTCTTTTCAGTTTTGATTGCATACTTAACATTTTATGATTATGTCTATTTTTTGAAACCTTGACCTTTCTAACCAGCTAAGTAAAAAATTTTTGCGCGTCTAGGTTTTGAGATTCGAGATTCGGGATTCGATTTTTAAAGTTTCGGTTTCGGTTTTGAGATTTGAAATTTCTGGTTTTGACCATCTCTAATTTAAATAACTATTGATTGGTCGGAAAAACATAGGCTGGAGCTCTTGCTTGTATCCGAACACACCTGGCTTAAGTTACCTAAGGAATTTGATAGACATTGAAATAAAAATAAAAATTTATATTGATTTACAATAATCCCAACATTGTTGAGAAAATATTTTTTGCAGTTAATTCTTAAAAGATAACCTCTTTATCGGGGAGAATGTCTATGCTCTACATACCTTTAGAACTAAATGTACCATTCATTGATTACAGCATATATTTTGTTTCAGGTTGTAACAACTCAGAAGTACATGGAGGATTTAGAAGCAATTGGTATTAATGTGAAAGCCAAAAACTTCCTTGTGTTTCAAGGTGCGGTCGAATCCATTGCCATGAAAAATCCTAAAGAAAGGACTGTTTTGTTTGAGGAGATTAGTGGGTAAGTGTTGGTTGTGATTTTGGACTTTTTTAGTAATCTTTTTCCCTCTGGCTAAATGAGTTTTTTTTTTTATAAGACAAAATATTATTAAACATGATGATTGAATACAAAAAAAAATAGTTTTGATAATGGTTTGAGTTGAAAACCGAATTTATGTTGCAAAATTTATGGTTAAAAATACTGTTTGGATCATGAACTATGATCAAGTTTCCTTTTGTAGCCAATTCTAGACTTTTGTTCTATTTTATCTGTGAATGTCACATTTAACATAGGTTTTATTGTAACATACGTTGGCACTTCTTCCTGCTTGGATCGATGACAAATGTATGACAAACTATTAGTCTTGTGTTAATGTGACATTTTTGTGTACCTCTACCGTAAAGTTTCTAAAGCAATCTATCTGAACTCTATGCCTTTCTAAAAAAATCTTTTTATGTAGCCACATGGGCTCACTTAAAATATATTTAGCAAGTGAAATGTATTTTCAGATCTGGTGTCCTGAAAGCTGAATATGATCGACTGAAAGCTGAAATGTTAAAAGCTGAAGAAGAAACCAACTACACTTATTTGAAAAAGAGAGGAGTTGTGGCGGAGAGGAAAGAGGCAAAACTCGAGAAAGAGGAAGCCGAGAAGTATCAGAGACTAAGAGAAGAGCTTGTACGTACAATCTGAATAATTTTTTGTTTGATGAAACAGCTGTTAAATATTGAAAATTCTAGACACAGCATGTTATTTCGCACATTACTAGTGGATAAGTCAATTGATTTTTTTAGTTCAAAGATTGATTGACATATTGACAATTTGGCAAATAATTCAAGATTATTTTTTAGGTTGTAATTTTCCTGAACATAATAATCTACTTTTGAATCTGTTTTAACTTAAAAAAATGTATCTAACTTATTCTTTAGGCAGTCAGTAAAAGTCAGATTGAACAATCTTGAATTAAAACACTTCTTAACAGAAAATCGTATCTTTGTTTTAGTTTGGTAATTGGCAGTTTGTTTAGTATTTTTTAATATTATAACCTAATGTTATGAATTTGTATTTGTTACAGGTTGAGAAAGAAATTGAGTATCAACTATTTAGGCTCTACTACAATGAAAGCGATATAAAACATTACGAGAACGAATTAGAAAGGAAAAGACGAGATGTGGAAAAGTTAGAGAAAAAGAAAGAGAAGGCAGAAGAACAACTGAAAGACAAGAAGAAAGATCAAGGCAAACTTAACAAGGAGTTGTCTAAAATTGAGCAAGAAATTAGAGAAGCGGTAAGGCTTTTTTCTGTTTGGATTTTAATCTCGGTTACAGTTTGTACAAAAAGTTAAAACTCAAATTAGATTTTTCTAAATTCTGAAAATTTTACCTATTTATTGGCTCAGACCTATAGATTTGTACAAAGACATTGAAGTACTGTTACGGTACAAGAAAAGCCTGTGGTGAATGCTGTGTTTAGATGAGTTTTACCAGCTTAAAACGTTACTATTGAGTTACTGTGTTCAGTATGTTTCTTCGGAAATCAAAATAAAATCATGTGTATTGGTCTATAGCTAATTTCTTATTCAAAGTTTAAGCAAAGATTTGATTGTTGAACTTCTATTAACTGATTTGAATGATAAAAAAATGCCTTTTTTCAACTACACACTCTTGTTGATTTCAAATTGTACTAACCAAACTGTTGTACTTTTACAGGAAGTGGAGATTAACAAGAAGAGACCTTCTTTCATAAAGTCTAAGGAAAGAACGACTCACATCCAGAAGAAGTTGAACACTGCCAAAAAGTCTCTGGCAGAAGCAAAACAGGCTAACGACGCTCACGAGCGGGACATACAGGAACTTCAGACGGAACTTGAAGAGGTCAGAAATTAAATTTGAAAAATGAATACTACAACTTGACCTGTTAACTGTTTATTTAAAGTAGCCTACACTCACTTAAAAGCACCTCAACCAAGTTAAATATCACGGTTTAAAACAAATTTTTAAATCACTTATTTTGTTTACTTAAAAATAACGGATGCTCATGCACTCTTGTATCGGGTTTTCCAACTCAATACAGTTATTTAAAAAAAAATCTTGTTGCAGAAAATTGGCAAACATAATGATTTTCTAGTTTATTGATTCAGTTTTTATTCAAACTCGTTCTTAATGAATAAAACTTGACCCTTCTTTTTATACCCTTAACAACACCTTTCTTTATAAATAACAACGGATCAATGAGATTTTAGGTACTGCTACTAAAACAGACAACAATTTTTACAAAAACTGAAATGGGAAGATAAGTCTGTAAACAAGCAGTCTTGTATTAGTTATCACAGAAGACGATGTACTGTATCAAGAGCATTATATATAGGTACAGTTGTTTTATTATAGCTTAATGTACAGAATACAAATGTAATCTATGTTTATTTTGTTATACTGGTTATGAAGGAAAAGATTTTCCCTTTTAATTCAGCCTATAAGAAAAAACAATTATTAGTTCAAAAACCTCTTTACAGAGTCTCCTGATGATTGGACTTTATCAAACTTTAATACAATATGGACAAATATATAATCATAATGAATAATACAATTTGAATATGCAAAACAATAAACATTTGCTATTTAAATTAATAAAAAGCTGGCACCCCAGCCTCATCTTCAAACTCTCTAAAAGTCCTCCACTTCTTTCTTGTTCTCCTTAGACACATGCTGCTGGCTATTAATGTCGCACAGATGGTTTTTACCCGTATCCAGTTCATCACTAAACTGTAAGGTTTCTTCAATTTTTCTGTTAGGCGTTCTGCCATTGCTCTGAGCAAGGTCTGAAATTCTTTGCCTAGCATTCCATCCACAGACGTGACTAGTGGGGTGAAAGAAGCATTTCTTGTTTGGATATTGTTTTACATTTTTAGCCAAACTCATATTTCAAAAATATTCCCAATTTTTTTCACTTGGGCATTTTAATTCAGATTCCATTGTTTTTACTACGTTGAATGGATGAACGGGTTGTGGTAGCCACAGGCAAACAGCAAGTAAAATACAATTTGTAAATCCAGTATTCATTTTAAAACCCAGCCAATTGAACTACAAATTCAAACCTCTTCGTAAGATTTGATGCATTTGGTTCTGACACATAACTTATTGCAGTTGTAGTCAGTGTTGTTGGTTGTGTTTGCAGGTTGATGCTCGCAGACAGGAGTATGAGGACCAAGTAGCTGGGGAGAGTCAGTCACAGGGTAGAGACGTTCATTTGGAAGATGCACAGGTTAGTCACCACGAAAGAGTTTTTCCAGATTTAGCCTGTATGTACTAAGAACGATTGTGAGACTTAGTATTCACATCTTACAACAAATGTTTCTGCAGTATTTGTTGTTGTTGCCAAAGTCATTATTTGTACATAGTACATACAATTTCTTCTTTGAAAATTTAATTTCGGTTTTGATTTGTAACATAGTGAATCAAACTGTTTTCCTGTTTTGAAATAATTGCACAATAACGTAAATAAACCACTTAGGTAAAATTTGTTTACATGTGATTATTTTACTTAAAGGGTTGAGATAGTATAAAAGGTGAACACAATATCTGATTGCTTGTGTTTAATTATACCTTCTTTAATGTGTGTAGCATCCTCTGGTAGTTTTTGTATGAGAATGATCCAAACACTGGTCTAAACACCATCCAACAACAATTTGGTTTTAGAAAGCACCATTGTTAAGACTAGTGGTAAATAACTAAAAAAAATTGTTGTCTGACTAGGCTTCATCTCAGACACATTTTCTCTTAATTTTTTCCATACTTTTTACAAATTTATAATTTATTTTCTATGTTTTACCTCTGTTTCAATTTTTTAAATGACTTTTCACAAAGCATTTCATTGCAGAGCATTAGGCAAGTTTTGTGATTGATAACTTTATTTAATTACATACCTACGCATATTTCAGCATTAATTTTTTTGTCCTCTTAAGATTGGTAACTTGAAAGAAAGAAGAACCATAATACTTTCTAGTAGTTAATGTAAGCCTAAATTTTCAACTTATTGTTCAGGTTCAGGAGTATAACAGACTAAAAGTAGAAGCACAGAAACAGTCTGCCCGTTATCTGCAAGAGCTCGACTCTATCAACCGAGAGCAGAAAGCGGAACAAGACAAACTGGACAACGAGGCGAGAATCAGAGGAGATCTTGACAATAAGATCAAGCAGAAAACTCACGAGAAGGAGGAGGCACAGAAACGGGTTGATAAACTCATCGAACACATCAGGTGAATGTCACTTTCTTCAACCTGTCCTTTAAGAAACCTTTAGCAATACAATATAAGTAGTACATAAAGTATTTTAGTATTTCAATACAAAAGGTTCACAAATACACAGTTACTGTTTTATCTACGCTCAAGTTAGATAAAAGTTGAAACACACAGTGCAGTACCGGTAGTCATAATAAACTTGAAATAATTTTATATAGGCTCAACTTTATCAGTTAACTACTTTATTTAATTATATGGATCATTTTAATTCTAATTTTGTTTTTCAGTAAATAGTTTTATTTAATAACATTTTTGTTTTGATGTCTTTAAAATACTACACTAGAGATTCTGAAATAATTAAAAACCATAAACAAAGTTAAATATATACATTTTAAAAGTGGAAGTCTGGATTTGAAAATTGAAATGTTTCTGAAAGTTGCACCTCTGTACAGTGACAGGCAAGTTCTCAACTAATCATGTTTAACTACATTTGCAAACATAATCAGATTTTATTTGTTGTATTGTTGTACAGGACGAGTGAGCAAGCGTTGGAGGACCAGAAGCGGCTGCGGGAAGAACTACAGTCTGACGTTGGAACATCCAAGGGTCGAGTGCAGGAGTTGCAGAAGGAACTGGAGAACGTGATGGAACAGCTGGGAGACGCAAAGATAGACAAGCATGAAGACTCTCGCCGCAAGAAGAAACAGGAGATTGTCGAGAACTTCAAGAAGAACTACCCTGGCGTTGTAAGATTATTTTGTACCAACTTTCCTGTCTTGTGATATGAGCCCCTAACTTCATCTTGTTAAGATAAAAATATTAATGTATTGCTAACATTTGAACTTGTGTATTAAATTATACATAGATCAAATGGGAAAGGAAAAATTTTGAAAAAGTTCATCCGGACAGATAAAATGTGTCATAGCTTTTATGAAAAGATATTTTAATTTGGTAAACTAAGTTAAAATTAAACTCTTTTCCCTGTTTGAGCTCTTTAATTAGCCAAATAGTTTTATAAACTTTTCATGAAAGATAAAACAAAACCCTTAACTGATTCCATCCTTATTTGTTACTGTACATAAATACCTTTTCCAATACATTTTTTCTCTAGGTCAGAACATCAACCAGGCATCTCCATCTTCTTCGGACTGTCTGCAGTTCCTCATCACCTTCTGTCATCTTGCTCCTCTTCCTACACATCCATTACCAAACATCTTCTAACCACCCTGATCTCCTCTTATCATCAACTCCACTTTCCCTGGAAAGATGAGTTTGTCCTTGCAGATTATTGACCATTATCCTTGTTACAGTATGACCGGATGATCAACATGTGCCAGCCCATCAACAAGAAGTACAACGTCGCTGTCACCAAGGTGCTAGGCAAGTATATGGAGGCCATTGTCGTGGACACAGAGAAGACTGCGAGACTCTGTATTCAGTTTCTCAAAGAACACATGCTTGATCCAGAGACATTCTTGCCCATCGACTACATCCAGACCAAGTCTCTGAAGGAGCGTTTGAGGTCAGTTATCCAATTGAGTTTGTTTACGAGGGTATTTGTTGCATAATGTCAAAGTGGTTCAATCTACTCAAGTCTTTGTGTACGTTAAAACCATTGACTGTTGGATATCGAAGTAGACATTAACTATATGGACCAGCTGTAGCCAATCTTTTTATTCAAACAGAACAATGTCGAATGAGTCATGTCTGACTCCTTGTGTACAACTAACTATCCAAGTTCAGTGTTCTCCTTTAGCTACCTTGAAGATTATTTAAGATATTTTCCATCACAATTATTAAAAAAAGATTCCATAATGATGCAGGATCTGGAACCTGATTCAGTCCTCAGATGAGTAAAATATGAATATATTACAAGAATCGTACACAAACTAAGTTGAAGTATGGGAAAACAACTCACAGAAACGAGTGGTGTTTATTTTTTCCCCAGTTTCGGCTGGGTTTAAACTTTTGCTTGTAACTTTTTGGTACTTCTTATCTGAGGATGGGAACAGATTCTAGATCCCGAAAAATTATGAATTAGTTTTTTAATTATCATGATGGAAAACACCCGCAATAATCTTTTGAACTCCTCCGTTATTTTTTGTTACTGAGATAGCTTATGTGGCATATTAGAGACAATAGTCAACAATAATTTATCCTCTCAGCTTGGCTTGGTTAAAAAGTTGACAACAGAAATCAACAATTTTTATCAATACATTTAATGATTGGTGTCAATGTTGATGGCTCAATATGCAACGATGTTCAGTTTATTGTAAAACTGGCTACAACTTTATCGTGGGAATAGCATATCTATCACAATGCATAATTAAAAGTGTAATTTAGCTAGTTATCAAGTTCTTATTTTTACATTTCTTTTGTTGGTTTCCTCAGGAACATCAAGGAGCCTAAGAATGTGAAGCTGTTGTACGATGTACTGAACTACTCTCCACCAGACATCAAGAGGGTGGTTCTGTTTGCTACCAACAACGCTCTGGTCTGTGACACACCAGAAGATGCCATGAAGGTGGCATACGAGATTGAACCTATGAACAGATATGATGTGAGTGCTAGACATATTGTTGTTGAATTATGTAAAACTTAACAACGGAAATTCCAAAATGACTTAGGCCTTGTCTCGACTTCTTTAAACATGAAATTAAAAAGTTGTTGAAAATGGTGAAAATTAGGCCTATACAAGAAACAAAAAAAATTGGAAGAGGGATTTTTTTTACAGCAGCGAGTCTAATATATTGTTTTAACTTTTTTAAACTAAATTTTTTCTGCAGGCGGTGGCGTTAGACGGGACCTTCTACCAGAAGTCTGGAATCATGTCTGGAGGAAGCCTTGATCTTGCCAGAAAAGCCAAACGTTGGGACGACAAGCAAATGTCTCAACTCAAGTCTACCAAGGTTTTTTTATGCTTTCTCTTGCTAGTTATTATTGAACAATAAGATATAATTATATATACTGTATTAAAACCTTTTAGTATAATCTCTTTTCAATAGTTTTAGTCACATTATTGACATTTAAGTCCGACGCTGACCACTAGGTATACATTATACCCAAATGTTTAAATGTTGAACTGGATTAGATTAATAAATTTATATAAAATATTGCATGAACTTTTACTGTTTACTGCTTCTAGGAAAAACTGACGGAAGAGTTACGAGAGGCGATGAAGAAGTCTCGTAAAGAGTCAGAACTGAACACCGTCGAGTCTCAGATCCGAGGATTGGAAACTCGACTAAAGTACTCCAAAACTGACAAGGAAAAGACAGTAAGTTTTGAATTAGAGTGAATTAAGTGTTACGATATTAGAGAAAAATGTGCTTACACTAAAACCTTTTATAATTGCTGAAATCAACCTAAATAAATGTGTTGACTATCTTGTTTTGTAGTCATTCATAGTTGTGAGGCTCTCTTTTTGTCCATGCGTTGTAAATATTTCAGTAGCGTATAATTGTATATTGTAATTGAAAACATTCTTTTACAGTTGATGCAAATTGCTGCATTAGATGAAGAGTTGCGACAGTTGGAAGCAAAACTGGAGCTAATATCTGTGAGTAGTCCTATCTTCTTATTATTGGGTAGACCGATGCTTATAGGCTGCCACATCAGCTTATGGCAAAAGGTTTTTAGATTGACTTTCTTAATGAATTTGACACACCAGTGCTAGTATGATTAGAAATAAAAGTATGTAATGAGATGATTGTTATGTACGGTATGTGACTAATTAGCCAACTCATAAATCGGTTACTGATAAGCATTTTCAGAAAATCGTAACAAAAATCATGATGTTCAAAACCCTGTAACGTTGAATAGAAATTTTAACTTATGATCTTTGGCTGCTAATTGTTGAAGGCTTTTTGCAATTAATACTACTTTGTTGGCATTACGAGGAAAATAATTTTTTTTTATAAACCAGGCTAGGAGGGTTTGTTACAAAGAATCACATTAGGATTTCTTTAGGATGCTTTATACTTGACTGTGTATAATGAAGCAGAAATATCTTATTTGTTCATAATATTGAAAACAATTTTTTTTCACTAATGACAATTTTTGCCTCATTTCAGCCAAGATGCGAATCTATCGAGCGATCCATGATGGAACGTGGTCAGCTTATCCAGGAGATGAAAGAAAAGATGAACCGTGTTGAAGATGATGTGTTCGAAGATTTCTGCCGTTCAATTGGGATGCATAACATCCGACAGTATGAAGAGCGAGAGCTTCGCAGCCAACAAGAGAGAGCAAAGAAACGGCTTGAGTTTGAGAACCAAAAGAACCGAATCATGAACCAGTTGGAGTTTGAGAGGATGAAGGATACTAAGAGTGAGTTTGTTGTTAGAAACGGAGCTTTAGTTGTGAATTGTCTTGTTAGGGATGTTACTAACACTATAAAATAAGCTCATCTGTTGTTTATTGCTAGATACAACCCCCTGAACAATCAAATCTAGAAACATTTGTCAGTAAATGGAACAATATAGGATAATTGACAACACCCTAATGTAGTTAGCCTTATGTATCTTTTATAATTTTTTCTCTTAACTTCATTGATTGTTACTTTTATTTATTTGTAAATAATGTACAGTAAATCATTTGCTATGCTATGTTAACAGACAACGTTCTGAGGTGGGAGCGAGCTGTTTCTGATGACGAGGATGAGCTGGAGAGAGCCAAGCAGGCAGAACAGAAGCAGATGTCAGAGATAGACAAACTGATGAAGGAGCTTGAGAAGCATAAGAGTGAACGGCAGACCAAGAAAATGGATGTGGACGCCTTTGAGGAACAGATTGGCAAAGCCCGCAGAGAGGTGAGTGGACTAACCCTGGTTGATATGCAACTTGAATTAATATTGTCATTGGTTTACAATAATGGTAAATAGTTGGTTACCTGTGTAGTTTGAGGCTTAGGTGGGAAAATAAGAAGAGCCAGCTATTAGAATTACTAGAAGGGAAACACTGGTTTAGGGGACAAAATGTTTAGTTAAAAAAAAAACAATAATTTTATTTTGATCTTATTGGTGATTTGTAAATTCTTTTGTGAGATTTTGGTTGTCAACATGAATACAATTTCGTTGGGTAGCAAGGAGATGGGTAAGAAAATTAAGAGTTTTATTTGCAAACAGAAAAGGTGTACATATATATATACCTCTCAAGAAAACAAAAAATATTAACCAAGGAACATTTTCTCTGTGTCTTAGAACTCCTTTGGGCCACTGAAAGCCATAGTTTATTGTTTATTTCAACCACTTAATATGTTATTGGTTACTAGGGGTGTGCGATGCATCGAAAATGCATCGAAATTTCGATTCGATTCGATTCGATGCATCGAATCGCGATTCGATTCAGTGGTGGTCAAAAAACGATTCGATTCATGAGGGAGTCAGTATCCATATACGAAAAACGCCTGCAGAAAGTCAACGCAATACCCGCAATACAGGAGCGCGTTGCTGTTGCGTTTCCTTTACGAAGGCGTTCTTATTTAATACATTCTTTGCATTAAATATAGCTTTAATTGTTTTATATTTTTTCGTTTTGACATTGCAAATGATAAGAGGTTTTGTTTTTTGTCTTGATGTAAGCAGTGTGAAAAATATTTTACTACAGTACTGTAAACTTAGCCAAAACAAGATAGGTCACTCCAAAATGATTTTTAAAATAAGTCTGAAAAATTGTTACTTAATACTTAACTAGTAAGATTAATGTTATAGACTGATACATTTGGTATTTTTGTTAGTGGTCTGCCGGTCCCAATTTTTGTTCGGGCAAGAGAAAAAAAAGAATAATTTATTTCCAAAGAAACACTCTTATATTATTATATCTATTATTACAGAGGAATTAAAATGTTCAAATGAGAATTAAAGATTAGTAAGTTGGCTCACGAATAAAGACACAACAGAGCAATTGCCGCACTGCCACTAGCCAGAGCTAGTCTAGTCGTCTACTCCTACTGACAAGATTGACAAGACAAAAGCTGTTACGCAACACTAACAGTGCAAAGAAAACAAAGTCAAAAGAATAGACTATTTATCCAGACATACTAGTTTAATCATTTATTATTTATTCCATACCTAATTTAAAATATATTTTAGTATTTTACATAATAAATTATAAACAAAATAAATATCTGATATAGTGAACAGATCTGTATCTTGGTTAGATGGGGTTAAAAAAATATATTTCTAAGATCCAATACAATATTTACAACTCACAAATTACAATGAATTAATTTCTTTGAAAATGATCTGTAACAGTTTTGTTTTTGAATAAAGAAATATATTTTTTTGTCTCTACTTCCTTGTTTCATCACTTGCATTTTGTCAGCAATTGAAGCAACTGGGTAGCAACCGGGTGGTGTAAGAGGGGAGGGGTAGGGTCTATGACCTTGAATGCACACATCGTTGCCTGGGCTTGGCTGGGAAGAGTGATTCATTGTTTTTGTTGACATACTACTACCCTTCCTTCAGAGAAAAAGACCCTGCTGTTCCAAAAACATTGAGGGTAGTTTAAAAACATTGACCTGTGTTGCCAAGGGCATTAGAAGTTAGCATTTAACTTTCTTATCTCTTGATTTAATATTATTTTAATCTACTATATATTATTTAAGAGTTACTTTTCGGGTACCTAATTAATTGTGATTTTGTTTGGCTTTATTTTATGGATTTTTATTTCATTCATTAGCTATCAAAATCAGTTGTTTTAGGATTTTAATCTCTTGCAGTAGGTCTATACTACTGTATGACATGATATGCATTTTTTACAGTCCTTAATAATTATACCATAAACAATGTTTGTGTGTTATTTACTGTTTTTTAGTTTTATAGTAGGGCCTAAATTAGTTTACACAATATCTTTTCTTCAATGAGTTCTCCACTTGTCATGTTGCTTAGTACACTTTTAGGACTTTTTTAGGTCCTATAAAAAATAATGCCTATGTAAAGCTGTAGGCCTACTAACTGATGCCAATAATAGATAATTCTTTATTTATGATGATGTAACAAATAATGTAAGTGTGAGGTTATTATACTAAGGAGGTTAGGGGGCAGGGAATGAATGATACATATTGCATGGTGGAAACATATTATTTTTATTTTCTTCTTGCTTGCAGTCCTGAAGCAGGTCCACAGGATATGTAGGCTAAATTTATTTCTTAATGGTCTTTTTATATTAAGTTCCATTCAAATTTGTTGTAATTTAGCTGACGGTACCTATTTAGTTATTTAAACAGTTATTAAAATGAGAATTAATGTCTTGATAAAAAAAATATTTTCTTCTTTCGTGCAATTGAGCCAATTCCAAGTAAAAATTATGAAATAGGCAAGTAAACCAGCTCACAGGTTATTCTAATCCCTATGATTGAAAATAAATATTTTTTCACCTAAAATTCATATGTTAAGTATGAATAGGCCTAATACCACATCAACAAAAATTTGCATTACACAAATGTGGTAAATTTTAATTATTGTTAATCCACTCAATTGACAATTATGAATAGAAAAATACCGTATTGCTTCGAATCGAGTTGCATCGAATCGAATCGAAAATCTTTTGAATCGAATCGTTGCTTCGAATCGAAAATTTCTTGCTGCTTCGCACACCCCTATTGGTTACTGATGATGTATGTTTGTAACAGGTGGGAGCGATTGCCAAGGATATTCAGGCTGCACAGAAGCTAGTGAACAGCATTGAGAGCAAGCTTGAGATGCGTAAGGGAGAGAGACACAGCATTCTCATGCACTGCAAGGTAAAGTGGGGATTAATTAATTCATTTGATTATTAACAATTGAGTTATTTTGTATTTATTTTAAAGAAAAGTCATTTGGCCATTTTGGGAGATTTTTTAGGAATTGTTGGATGGACCAAGTGGGATGACCCTCTCTTGTACTAAGAGTACCTACTTAGTATTTAAGTTAATTTTGATTACATTCATTCATCCATGCAAACTCCAGCGTTGTTGCTCCAAAGGTTCTTAAAGTATATTTAGACTGTTGCCTTGTGTTTCTAGATGGAGGATATCCAAATCCCCATGTTGCATGGTAACATGGAAGACATTGTTGCACAAGATTCTTCCACAATGGATGATAGCAGCTCCACTGTCGCTGCTCAGATATACGACCGTGAGGCCAGGTAGATATACCGTACACTTGCTAATCTGATTCCAAGACCTTGGCTATACTGAATTAGGCCTAAGTACTGAGCGCCTTCTAAATATAGGAACCTTTCTTAGTGTATTAGCCTACTAAGCCAAGTGCTTTTTCCTAAACAAAAAATTACTAAGGTTATCAGACAATTTTTCAACCCTTAGCTGAATTCTTCAAACATTACTTAACTTGCCTGAAATCCTTTTTCCTTTTTAACTGCAGAAAACCTTCCTTAGACTGATTGTGTATTATACACTGAGGATATAGTGTATTTATTTTTATTCAAAAGTTGTAGGGTTATACATTCCAAATTTTTATTTTTGGTTCCGCTGATTTCTAAACTGGGAACCAAAATAGAAAAAGAATCAAATGTGGAAC